AATATAAATGCCCAGGAATGCAAAATACGTTTGGTGCAAGGACAAGTATCTTCACTCTTAGAAAGCTGCTTGTGACAGGCATACTCCCTCCTGCACTCGACAACACCCAAAACTTCTAGACCGGTGGATGACACATGGCATGTCACCCACGCACCTCGGTCAGAGTGAATGCAGGGCACCTTGTTTGACAAACAAGGCCCTTAGCCAATGAAACACCTCAGTCAAGAGAAGTTTCTAGCCCACTGACCAGAGATGACCACAGATCAGATTGACCTAGGGTATAAATGGAGCCCTGCCGGGGGCCATGTTGAGTCGGTCCTCCTCAGAGCGGTGGGTCTGCAGTCAGGGACTCTCCCCTTAGGTCAGGACACCACCTAAGGAAATTCCTTGAGGTTGAGAGCCCTCATCTTACAGGCGAGTGATGGCACATTTTGGATTATCATTCCAAAGTCTGAGGATTTCCTGAGCCGCGTAGTAATTGAATCCTACTTAGTATCCTGAACCTGTGTTTGCTAAGTGTCTGCTGGAGCGTAGAGTGATTTTGATGAACAGCACATTTTTTTCTTGTTTATCCTGAGTTTACTGTTGATTAAGCAACTTTGGTTACACAAATAAATTCCCCTTTGAGTTTGCCATCTGCCTGGTTTCATTGCATATATTTAATCCTTTAGACATAAACAGTTGATCAAGTCTGGGACTAGGAGTGGATCCAGCCACACCTAGACTCCTCTCTGAGGAGGAGTTTAGAAAGCAAGGGGGTCTTCTATGAACCTCGTGACTCAATGGGAGGGTCTCCCTGACAGTTTTGTCTGACCTTGTCCCCTACAGAGTAAACCCTGGTGTGCCTCTGCAACACTGCTTTCAGTTGTAACACTCCAAGCAGGAGAATTAAAGCCATGATTCAATGCTACGCATGCTTGGAAGCAAAGTACAGTCACATGCTTTTATCCAATTTACTATCACGACTCTTCTGCTTTCTATTTCAATTCAACCATTATATTAGAAGCTACCATCTCAAAAACTATTAGACCCAGTCACCAACTCCTTCTGCCTCTGAAGTCCTTCAAATGGTGTTGACTTCTACTTTGAGGCCCTTCCCATTTGGAAGAAAGCCTTATGAGCAGCATCACGAGGGACATCCTGAGGAGTGCAACAGGAACTGAAATGTGGGGCTCCTTAATTTGGAAGTTGCAGTCATAGTTCCTCTCTGGCCCAAAGAATAAAACATGTGGAGGGGAAGAGCTTCAACAGGACAGAGGAGTGCTCTGCAGAACCCAAACCTGACCACTTGGGAAGTGAAAGTTCAGGTTCTGATCTTTGCAGCAAGAGAAGAGCCATCAACCTGGGTCAACCAAGATGTAGATGAGTGCTCTAATTACTGGTCCTAATCAAGTATAATGGAGGAGAAGGATCACCTGGTGCTGCGGTGCAGGGTGAATGCTTACCATACGGGTCCCATGACGAGATGGACAAGGGAATGGCTTCTTTGTGAAGCCATGTTGAATAGTTTGATGCTGCCAAGTTGAGCTGGTGGATTTGTTCATTCAAAAAAATTAAAATCCCATTTAGTCTGCTTTTCAAGGTCTTCTTCAGAAAATACAAAGGATAAGACCAAGCAAGTTACCTTCTATCACGGGTACTCCTGTAAGCAGCTATGCACTGTACTTTAGGATCCACATATTCTGGAGAAAATTCTTCAGCTGGTATAATACAAACCTTATGCTGAAAAATAAGCACAAGGTACAATTAACAATTAGTATCATAAATAACAAGGCCAGCCCTGAACAGGAAGGATGAAACCTAATTTTAGCATGGGGAGACCTGAGCCCAAAGCTATGTTCTGTTCTGAACTTCTCACAAGATTTTGGATCTCTTTGCCTGCCTGCACCCAAATGCCTCAGTGCTGAATAGCATTTTTCTGTCCTTCTCGGGAACATGTTGGCTGTTCAGAAGTTAAATAAATTAAAACATAAGTATATGTATGGCAATGGGAATGACAGAAGACCAGCTCGTGGGGTCAGAAGCTAGGCAAGGAGCATAGAGATGCAGGAAGGAAAAGCTGTCATCTGTCGTGTTAGAGACTTTTGGCCCCTGGGAGAATTCCTAGACCTTCTGAAATGCAGGCACGAACACTTGCTTGCACAAAGTCTGTAGAAGTGAGTGTCAGTGACACCAGGACTTTTCCCAATAGATTCAGACTCATTTTAAAAGCCAATGAGACCTCACATGATATTTTTTTTTTTTTTTTTTTAACTAAAACTAGACATGAGCAAATGAAGCTGCAGCAGTCCTGCTGTAGCCATGGTGGTAAGGACATAAGGGAAGGCTTATGGGTAGACACAACAGTTTGAAATAATAAAATATATTACTTGAACTTACAAAATACGTAAATGCAGGTCACAAAACTTGTGCATGAACTACTTGAAAAGGAGACAAAAATGCCTGATAAGCAGCAAGATAACTAGCACCATGTATTAATATAAATAAAAATTGCATAGGGAGAATTCATTAATGTGCAAAGTGATTCAGTTTAGAAGGAGGTCCTAAGGGAGCTCAGCTTGTGTTTCAGCAGTAGTGAGCAGGGACTAGAAACCCTTCATAAGCTAGAAGGCACAGTGCCAAATGTCCTTTTTCCTGGGCAGCAAACATTGTGCCTGCCCTGCATGTAATGACCCAGAGGGCTTCAGCCCGTTGCAGCAGAACAAGGGTGGACTCTGAAGCTTTGAACTACACTTTATGAGCGGCTAAAAAGTTAATGCAAAACATGGCCTGGGTTTAGACAGCTCATATCCATCAGTGTGAGATAAAGACTATCGAGCTGTAAGAGCCTCCCTTGAAAGCCGACCTCAAGAACCTCATTTCCCCTTTATTTAGACCAGATTTCTGAACTTCAGCGTTGTCTCTCCGGTCTACATAACAAGGGGTCACACAAGGGTCTTTAACTCCAAAGTTGCCGCCATTGACTCCATGATTAGTGTCTATATATCAGAAGCTCTTCTCTTCCCCCTTCTTCCTATGTTTTGCTAAGTGCAGTCTTTACATTTAACATGGGGAAATATTTCCTGTATTCTCAGGAGAATATTGAGATTTATCTTGCAGCAAGTTATTCAGAGAATGAAAACTAGAATTTAGAAATAAAAATACAGAGATTCCTGGCACAAGAGACTTCCACATGTGGAGATACAGACTAATAGTATCAACATCTTGAGGATATAGATCTTGTTAGCACAGCAATTGCTGCAGCAAGCTGACAATTTAAATGGTATTTGTTTACACTGAACACTGCCTCATGAAATGAAGAAAGCATGTATCAGTTGTTATTCCTAATAGTTCCACAGAATTACTTTATGTTCGTACCTGGGTTTCAACTCTAGATTTTAACCAATTGTGTAACTCAATCTGTGTTTCTAAAATGGAAAACAGAAACAACATAGAAGAAAATTCAGTGTCCAGAAAAATGTATTCCTGATGTGACCAAAAGAGGTCAGTGAAGGCTTTTCATTCAAAGTATTTAAAAGTTAAATGACTAATGAATGCATTTATTACCTGAAATGAATACATTTATTACCTGAATTTTGTAAGAGACCCAGGAAACTGCTACAAGGGTTTTGAGGATTTTTTTAAAAAGTGAAAGATAACGGAAAAAAAAAAAAAGATTAAGTATAAAAGCTACCAGAAGATTTTTCATTTAAAGTTTACATGTAGAAGAGAGAGAGGAACTGAAATAAAGCACAAGAGATTTGGAAAAACCCTTGCCAAGAAAGTCAAATTTCTGTTTATTTTTGAAACCAATCAAGTTTGCCTCAGTATTCTCTGAGTATACATAAACATCTTCAAGTATCTAATATACATCATTTCACACGTTACCGTACAGCACAGGAACACAAGGAGAAAAGTACCTCTTTTTACCCACTCAGGGAAAAAGTATTACAAAAGGGAAAAGAAAATGGAAACTTACCAGAAGAAAATTAATTGATGATGCCTTAAGATGTATCTTTGTATCTGCTAGAAGGTCATAGGCTGCAATGCGATTCCTGTTGTCAACTACAATGCTGCGACAAAGGAAACTGAAGCAGAAAGCAGGATTAAAAAGGAGCCTGCTGGCACTGCCGTGTTGTTTATGCTATCGCCTAGCTCAGCTGCCTAAATTTTGGCTAGCCTTACTGCTGGTGCATAACCGTCCTGCTAGATGATAAGTAACAACCACCTTTGGCCACTGATAAACATGCAGTATCCTCGCTAGCGAGCCAAAGGATGTACCACATACAAAATACTGCTTCTCCTTTGTGGGTTGACCTACTTAGAGCCCAAATCTTCAGGCCTCAGCTCAGATACCTATTTGAGCTACTGCTTTAAGTAGGATGTGAATGGACAGATGCACATACATGGTATCTGCAGAGGTTTCCAAGCCGTGTAACGTGGCATGTAACCAATATTCTGTGCCTGGGCCGTGCTCCCTGAGGTGCCAGCATGCACCAGCTGCTGCTTTCTACTACTGCCATGCAGCATTGACAGTGTGAGTCAGCAGCTCTCACCCACACAATGGCAGGTGGGCAAGTCTTGATTTTAGGAAGCTATTCTGTACACTGAGATACTCCTCAATACAAGTGAAAAAAAAAAGTAGGTTTGCCTCTTACTGCCTGCCTTTGATTGGCTGTGCGTCTTTGGTAAAGACACATACTAGGTGGAATAGCCTTGCTAAAGCCTTTGAACTTTGCCTTGCTCAGGGAGCATGACCCCTGCACTTGCCAAAAGTAGCAACAGTTCCCTTTTGCTAAAGAGAAGTCATCTAAGGCTCTAATTTCCTTTCTTTCTTCTCTACTCCTGCTCAGGTAGGTGAGCTGGCATGCTGTGGGTGAGAGGCTGTAACCACCATACAACTGCTTCTCTGTTTCTCCTCTACGAACCAAAGAACATGCAAGTTTCACTCTTGTTTAGAGCACAGCTCAGAAATAAGGTCAGCTCAGGGCTAAGGACATTTAAGATCAGAGAAATATAGGTCCCTTATTTGTGATTCGTTGGAGGTTTGCAATGTTTTATTCTCTTACGATGTTTTATTGGGAATAATCACGATCATAGAGCTGTAAGAAGGCCTGGCACAATATATCGCTGATTCTACAAGTTCCTCTTATCTGTATGCAACTCACTATGTCATTACTTGATTTATTTTTTAACAGAAGAGAGCTGTATCTTCCTGCTTAGGAAAGATGACACAGCAACTTACTTGCAATGTGACCATTAGCTTCATGCAGAATGGCCACAGAAGGCATTTACTGCATTGCTACATAAAGTAGCAAGGGCTTTCTTTGTATTTTCATGAGCAAATTCTTAGAGTATCATATGAACAAACAAGCATGTTCAAAATTAGTCCATAAAATGTGTTGGGAGGAAAAAAAAGGGGGGGAATGAAATGGAATATTTATGGCAACTATTTTGGGGTTCAAAGTGTTATGTAACAGGCTAAAATAAGAGCTTTCCCCAGCAATAACCTGACAAGGTCACTGCTCCACATAGCTCTGCTCCGTATAACAAAAATGCTGATGAAAATGATTTTTCCTACTGGGCAGTTTCATCCTGAATATCCCTAAGCCTCCAATCTGCCAAACACTTGGCTCACAGGAAAAACAGATCCATGCCTGTAGTCCCCTGGCACTGGGTAGGCTCTCCCAAGGGCACAAACATCTGCAGGATCACAATCTTAATTTGAGTCATAAACTGAAATGCTCAAGTGTTAAAGACAATCTTGCCTAGGACAGACAAAATCTCTTGTGCAGAAACATCTGCAGTAACCTCAGTCAACAAAGAAGCATTTAGCTGAAGAACTTGCCTACAGCCTAACAGCCAGACGATGGCTACATTCAGAATTTCAGAGACCTTTATACTTCCACTTCAGCAGATCTTGTTAGAAACAGTGGGAATACTCTTGTAAAACTGGCTGCTACATTTTTTATAGCCAAAGCCCTTGGACACGTTTAACTACATAAAAACAGTGCAGGTGTCTGCAGCCAACGGTGATGCTCTTCCAATGGACTCAGAGATTAATAGTTTATAAGGATTTATGAATGTATAAAAAAAGTAACCCTTTGTATAGGAAAACGGTTCACTGAAGCTGTAGCAACATTTAATGAGCTGATTGCACGGAAAGAATTAAAAATCTGTACAATACCTACAGAATCATGTACTTGCTTTTAAATCACCCTAAAATTCAATCAATCTACATAATAAAATGGATTCCAATATATAAAAAGTATAATTAGATCCCAAATGCTTTTTTAATCATTTAGTGATTACTTCAGAATTTCTTACCTGTATTTACAACTATATATTCTCACTCTGCCTTCAGTGACAGGTCCAGGGCTATGTATTATTACCTCAGCAGTGTATAACTGATCCTCTTCATTGGCATATTCAAAAACCAGAACATAGCGACCGACTTGCGGAACATTTATGGTCATCTGTAAATTGACCTAGGTCAAGATCATTGAAAAGAACAAAGCAAAGCCATTAGATTTTCTACTCACTTTCTTGCAGGAAGTTCCCTTTTCCTGCCCTGCAAGCCAACTGGTCAGCATTAGCCCAGGGCCAGTCCTGTAACGTCTCAGCAAAAGACATCCAGTAGAATGCAAGCAGTGCTTATAACTATCACTCATAAGAGTCAACCAGGTTCAAGAAACAGCACCCATTATAACAGTTCTAGGCAGGCTGTAAAATAAGCCTAGGAAATGAGTATATTATTATTTCTCTTCTCCCCAGTACACTTCCCCAGTGAGGAAACTTCAATGACACTAAAAAAAATTGTCACCATGATCTCTAAGCTATCTTTAATAACATATAAAAATCGAGTCTACTTCTCTACTGAAAAAATATTTCCAGGAACACAAGTCCTACTACAGCAGTGCTGTATATTGATTCCCTACAAAGACTGAAAGCATCTTCCCAAGAAAACAGCCAATGCCACTTTCTGAAGCATCAAGTTTTTCGTTTAGTTTACCTGTACAAATTGGTTAACACAATATTTGATGCAAAATACTTCAACACAGTTGCACGGAAAGTGCTGTGGGTACAGAGGTTTTTGCTACCGTTGCCTATATAATTATTTTCAAATTTAAACTGTTTTTTCTCAATATTTCCTTAGGCTACGAACACTTAAACATGTAAACAATTCGGTCAACAGCCCTCTTGACTTCACCGCAATTATTCATACTGGTAAAGTTTTGCACATGCATCAGTGATGAAGCACCAGGGCCTGTGGCACGTAAGTATTCTTGTTGCACTTGGTATTTTTAAAAGCAATATCCAAGCACATTAACAGAGGGCATAATCATTTTACATGTGATTATCATGTACTTGATAAAATACCTTATTTTTACCAAACACACTTCTAGTATAACTTATAATTTCATAAAACATATGTTTCTCTTTCAATGGACCTACAGCAGTGGCATAATTGCTTCTGCTTGTTTTTTAGTAAAGCAAACATTTTACATAAGCCAGTATGCCTAAAGCAGAGGGATTTTTATTTAATAAAATACTTTTGTCAGAGTGAAATGTCCACTCTAGTCACAGTTATAAATCCCCCTACACTGATCCATTTACACAGCTCTGTATAAAAGGCAGAACTTGGCGCAGAGTCTGTTTTAGGGACGTGTTACAGATCTGGAAATCCCGAGCTGTAAATCTGCAACTGTTTTAGTCCAGTAGGTTTACAATCAACAGTGCAGATGGGACTGCAATTAGCAGGCAGGAATCTGACCTCTCTTCCACTGATATGGGTCATCACTGGTTGATCAGGAGTTGGCTGTCGCACAGGTATTCTTCTGTATTCTCCCCCGTGTCTGAAATACGCTGCCTCTGAACCGAGGACACAGGAAAATCTGCCCAATGGCAAATGCTGATAAAGCAAGCAGCTTACACAAAAAAAAAAAAATAAACAAAACACAGGATTATTATTGTTTTCAAGTGCAGCAGGATAATAATAAAATAATCCAAGGCACTGGTTTATTCTGTAGCATATATACTGACTGCTCTGTTGAAGCACGTCCTGAATAGGTGCAAGGCTCTGTAACTTGTATCTGCAAGATGGATGCTTCGTAGTAATCACTAGGTAACAGCACCATATAATCCTAAGAACAAAGAATAGAACAAATGCAAGACCAAGCAGAAAATTACAAAAGGAACACCTCTAGACTTTCACCATGTAGCAATGAACAAAACCAACCACGTAAATAATTTTTACAGAGGATATCTGCAAGATGTGGATTTTTTTTTGTTTTCACATGGGCCAATAACATCAGAATGTGTCTCCCTAACTCTATTTATACTTTCAGAGAGATGGGACGAAGGCAGCTGCCCTGTGAGCAGGGAAACTCTGAAGCTACTCTCCCACCATGTGCTGTACAAGACAGTGCTCAGGAAGGGAGCCTCCCCACAGCTTGGTGACACACAGCCAGCTGGGTGCAGTTTTCACCCATGAGTGCAATCCATATGCACGCAACTCAACTGTGCGTGACTCCACAAGGGAGATTCACGTATCCCAGGTGACTTTATAAAAATATTCCATGTAATCTATTAAGCTGTGCTTCAGAAGCTGGTATATTTTTGCTCTGCATTGCCTACTTAAATTAACATATTAGAGCTTACTTATAAAAACTGTTATGTGAGAACATGCTGGGCTAAGATCATTAAGAAATTCCTTTTCGAAGGTATTAGTGAAAAAACCAGGCACAATAAGTACTGTCACTTTCAGAAAGAAATGTTTGCAAGCCTTTTAGTAATATTTTATGTGGTATTCCATAAATTTAACAGAGCCCCAGGCTTAATGACTAAAGACACTGACTTCTTGTTAACCCTACACAATATACATATGAATTTCAGTCTGCTGTCTTTGTGATCATACATGTCCAAGGTTTTTCATAAATTATCACCTCTAACAATTTGTCTTTTTATAGCAATTTCTCAGAACTGCTGTCAGAAAATTTTTCAGTTTTTCAGTAAGTGAAAGGAGAGTAATGATAGGAGGATAAAAACATTTAAAAAATTACCTGCTAATCATACAGCCCATCTTATAATTCGTTTTTGACGAACCTTTGTCAAGAAACTAAGACCTTGGGGATCTGTGGCTGAGCCAAGCTTTAGATATGACATCTGCTATGTAGGAATTACGAATTTCTGTGAGCATTTATGCTCAACCAATTGTGCTTGTATGTTAACATTTATCATTTGAAGGTACAGATTCCAGATAGACTGAAAGTCTGTAAGCACAAGAAAAATTAGAGCAGGTGAAAGCTAGAGAAGAAAAAAAAAAAAAAAAGAAATAAGAGGCAGGACCGTAAATTTTCATGATGATATTCTGCTGCTGTACTCTTTTCACTAGTGCTGAATTTCAATTGCTTGCAGGGCTCTTCCTGGCAAATAACTCCAGAGCAATACTATCGTGACAGCCTTCAAGCACTTGTTTTCCTCAATTTTTTTCTTACCAAGAGGACTTCCTCTGCCATTATACTGACAGTCCACGTGCCTGGAACCAGTGTGAAAGGCTCTGTGGAGCTTTTTCCTGGGATTGTGACAAAAGCTGGCTCCTTGCTGGGTGGGAAGACAAACTCTTTGCTCTGAGCAGCCCCTGCCAGCAAAAAAAAAAAAAAAAAAATCAAGTAAAAAAAATAAGGGCCTGTGTAAAATGTCTCTACTTGCTCAGTGCGCTGGACTGATGATTTCAACCATTAAACTTGGCCTAACAGGAGCTGATCAATGCTTTTCTGTCAATATGTATTAACAGTGCCTTTGACCACACACAGTAAGCTACAGAGCTATGCAGTGGTTGTTGTCTTAGTTCTTATTAGTCTTGAGCAATTGGGTTCAGAAAAGCAGAGCTCTGCCCTGTAGGGCCAGTTTTTCAATATTCTGAAATGTTCACTTCTTCACTTTCCCCTTCCATTATTTTCCATTCAACCTGTCCCTGCACTGACTCACAATATGTTCAGCTGACACGCAGCCTGTTCTCCTGTGACTTTCAGCCAAGTATTTCAGATACTGAAGATTCTCGGTAGCATCTAAAATGTTTAGTTACAGATAGTAACTGAAGGTAACTTCTGGGTAGAAACAATATACAACAGAAACGTAGCTGCAGTGTACTTTATCAAAAAGAAGTCATGAGGATCATTATGAATATTAAAGGTTTCCTCTTTGAAGCCCCCGGACACAGACAAAAGCTGGCTCCCTGCCTCCCAGGCAATATAAGCCAGACATGACCATGAACTGCTGCCACTCTGCTGAGTGGTATCTGTGAAGTCTTCAGTTTTGTCTCCTCTGAATTACTAAAAGAAGCTATGGCTAAACTCCATTAGCTCTCATCGGTATGCCGAAGTTAGGCATAATAAAAGATAATTCTGCATACAGGTTTGGTATGCCTCTGCCATTCAAAGGGTACGGAGTTCTTATCTCTTATCAGGGCCCAAAAGGCATCCCGTGCTGTTGAGGTCTAATCACAGCTAACTTGGTAGATTGGATTCATCATTAAATAAATGTTATTCATGGAATGAAGGCAGAAGCCACCTTTAAACTGAAATATTAAAGGCAACTAAACCAAAATAAGTGCTGTTATCCCTTCTTTAAAAGCTTCCTAAAACACACAGTTCAGAGCTTCCAAGTGCAGAGCTGGAAGTGCTGAGTCTGACAAACATTTAAAACAACAAATGTTGATTACTACCATAAGCAGGGGTTTCATGCAAACACAGCCACATCAATTATATGACAAAATATATTAGGAAAAGCACAAAAGCATCGACACTGTTAAAAGTGATGCATTTTAAGCAACATTACGAATTTGACTTAGGTGCACCTTGAAAAGGCTCCTCTGATCTAACATTCATCTGATCTGTTGCGTCGTTGAGTTGCACCTACCTGTTTCAGGCCGAGATTGCCAAGCAGATATGCGACCAGACAATGTTTCCCCTCCAGGGTTAATATACCTCAGGATAATACGAAATAAGTAGAGGTTTGATTTTTCCACATTCAAAGTTATCCTCACTTCATTCTGAAAAATGGAAGTTAATAAACAGAAACAGCCGTAAAGTGCTGAATAGAGGAACAGTTAGAAGCCATGCAAGCACCATACTAAAGTCCTACACGAAAAACACACATGCAGACAAGTATATACTGGAACGGCAATGCTGGTGAACGACAGAGGAAGACAGGCAAGCCTAGTGAGAAAATTAATTCACTTACAAGTATAATTAGTGCCAAAATGTTTTCCCTCAGCAACTGAGATCTTCCCTTTAGAGCTTTTTGAGCCCAGGCTGACATAGTGGAGGACTAGGTGGAAGAGCTTAGGGGAAGCCACAGTGATAGGCACAACCACCTCTGGCTGGGAAAAATAAAAAGAAAGGGAAAAAGGAGGAAAGGAAAGTGTATTATTTGTTACTAGCACCCAGAGAAAGAAAAAACATTTGGCAAAGACAAACTCCATAACAGAAAAGAAAGGCTTGGGCAGTTTACAAAAGAATATAGAACAAAACTTCCTGTGAAACAAAACTCTTGTTGAATAATAGCTTATCCAGGAAGATACAGAATGGCTGAACTAACATGTGTTGATACTGCACCTTGATACATGGACAGTATTTTATGTTATTCTCCCCTCCCGTGCCATAAAGGAGGCATATGGTATCAAGGGCTGTCCATATTCCTGGCTTCCCAAGGAACAGGCCAGAATCATTGATTCTAGTCTGAGGTCACACACAACACTCCACAGCATGCAGACATCTCAGACCATCACTGAAACTTCTCCTCCACCAGATCCCCCAGTTTCTTAGAGATGCAGTACCATGCATGACTCTGCCCTGGGGCTGAACTGACACCTCTGGAGCCACACAGTTCTCAAGCCCACAGGAGGCTGCATTCTCACAGCCCCCATTATTTAGTTTGCAGAGCAACAGAATCAGCAGAGACATGTTCAAAGGTTGGTGGTGGAACAGGAAAAAATAGGATTAGCACAACCTCAAGGGTTTGGCTTCCTTCTTTCTATCCTAAATCCACTCTTATAATCCAGCTCCCACCAGCTCACTCAACATCCACTCGCTGTCCCTTTCCAAGACGCTGGCGGTACAGTGACCTCCCCACCACTGTGGTCCGTTCTGCTTCCCCAAATGCACACAGGTTTCCTCTCTTCCATACATTTGAGAACGGAGCACAAAGCTTCATTTTCTCTTACTCCTAAAAGCTACAATAAATGCAAGATTGCCAGTTCCCATAAGCTGCTCTGAATGTACATCCCTCATTTCTGTCATCATCATCCCAGAGACCTCCGCCTTCTTAACAGAAGTGCAAAGCAGAAAGCAAAGACAGACATACGACAGATGGCAGGGCTGAGAGATCTACAGAGACCAGATAGCTAAAATCTAGGTGATTGCAGAAGGGAAGTGGACCAGAATGGAAAATAAAGACAAGAGGGGGAAAGTTTTACAAGTGTTGTTTTGAATGGAGAAGGATGACTTCTGAAGGATACTGCATGGACAAGATAGGCACTGAGGGAACACTTGAAAAATAGATGTAAACGAAAAAGAAAAGGCAAAAGAAATAAAGAAACATGCTTTGGGACATTTATCAAAATGTTTTCTAAGCTTTTATGGAAAATCTGGAAGACACAGTGAAGGGAGAGAAAGAAGAGACATGTGAGGAATGAGGGAGGAAGACATGTTGGTCCCTGGCTTCAAGCAAAGGCAGGGAGTGGGGAGAAATTATTCTTTGAGCTCTGTCACAAACTTAGGCAACTCTGGCCAGTGCTTTAAAATGTGAGCCAGACTGTCAGCTTTTCAGTCTGTAATGAAACATCCATGTCGGCAGCATGACAGGGCATCAGCGACCTCCACTCAGGTCACCATCAGCTTATTTATTTCATCTCAAAATTTTTTTATTGTATTGAAATAGTTTCTTTTCACAAAAAGTTGTTACATTAGCCTTTTGTGTGGTAGATACGGTAACACTATTTGTCTTCTACAAAATAAATGCCAGGAGGACTATTTCAGGATCCTGCAAGACACAGGATAGCTATGTCAAAATTAGGAAAGTTCCTTGGAATGAAGAACCTGAGACTATATCATTTATGCAAGGATCTAACTAAGGAGGGCCTGGAGCTGGCAATTATGTACCTGAGTGAAAAGCTTTAGCCAGGTAAGCAAAATAATGCACACTTTTAGCAAGATTAGAGACTAAGCGCTTTCACTACCTCCTTACAAAATGCCACCGGATATGAAATGCAAAAAGCAGCTGAGTTAGAAAGCAGAAGTTAAGAACTCACAGCTACTAGAGAGTTGCCTTCATTTGTGAATGTGGAAGAATTCTGAAAATCCAACAAATATAAGCTCTGGTATAAAACACCCAACAAAAGAACAAAGATTGAAAAATGAACAGAAAGAAATCACTACACTTGTGCAATGGTTATGTGCTTATGTCTCAGTCTATAGTGATCCATTAGTCCTTGGACAACTTATGGAGGCTGGACACAACTATACTAGAGTACTACTTCTAAGAAGAGTGAGCAAATCCCATTTATTGCTTAAATCTACTATTTTAAATCCTGGTTCACTTGCTCAGCAGTTCAGTCCAAAGTCAGACAGGTCCTTTCTCCCACAATTAAATGATGGTGACTTTCTTCCTGTGATTTACTTATTCTCTCTGCTGTTGTTTAGTTTATTTGTAGACTGTCATGAGACTAAAATAAACGTTGCCAATATGCTCCTGCTCACAGCTTCTTTTACCAAATCACAAATCTTCCTAATAAAATCATTCCTAATAAAAGTTTGCACCTTTCTTTTCTTCACTCAATATAAGTTGCAAGTGTAAGAAGACTTCAGTGACAGCACTGTGACGGTACCTGAAAATCTTATGATGCAGACTGCCAGGGAACTGTGTTGTAGACTAAAGATATTAGTTCTTTTCTTTACACTTATTGCAAAATGCCTATTTCTTACAACAAAATCCTCAAAGAACATTTCTGAAGAACACATACTTGCACAAACAATGACCTTACAATAATACCAACACTCACTAACCCAAACGGCGATACAGTGGGTTCAAAGGGTTCAGATTAGTGAGATCTTGTCCTTTTTTCTGGTTTCCCCATGACCTTGCACACACACAGCAGTACTATAGAAACATACATACCATACACCTATGTTTTCACCATAAAGCCCTGAGCGAAATACCAGCTTACTTGTATAGAGGACATCCGGGCATATCCTCTCCAACTGAAGCTAGGAAATTCCTGAGGATCATAGCCAAAACGAATTTCTCTTCCCTTGACAGTAGTACCGTCTTCAATCTCAAACTTCATGTGGTGCAAATCAGGGAAAAAATAATTTTTTTCAGGCCTTTCAAGGAGAAAAAAAAGTAACAAAGAATTACCAGTTGCTGTATGGTCTACATCTTAAGAGAATAAAGCAGCAGAAGGGAGGTGACCTACTGATGCCTGGGGAATCCTGATAGCAGCTAATAAATTTAAGACAGCTCATAAGATGGATGTAATGAGAATTCTCTTTCCAGAAGCTTTTACAGCTTACATACATTTTCCTACATAATTCTTGATAGATAGAGATACATAGGCAATACTATTGCAAAACAAGTATTGGTTATTTAAGGAAACAAGTTAAAAAATCTTATTAAAATAACAGAAGAAAACTGCCCAGCAAAATGAATACCAATAACTAATACAATTTATCAGCTTATTTATCAAGAAATTTAGAATCTCACATGAAAGGATAGAAAAGGACTTGTGGGCAGTTTCAAAAGAGCTATGCTGAAGCACGAGCTATGGGGAGCTACAGCCAGACTCACTCCTGACAGGCCGTCCCCACGACATGTGCCCTGCACCGGCAGCCACCCCAGGGCTCGGCACATGCTGGGCTGAGGGATCCTCCAACATCACACAGGCAGCCTGTCAGGCAAAAAGCAGAAGTCAAATATACCATCAGAAAAAAAGTGATAAAAGTTACCAGAAAACACACTTCACTTTTGCTAATTAAACACCATTAATTACTTGTTTTCTCCCTCCAGAGCCCTTCAGGCTCCCCTCCCCTCAGACTCTTTCAAACACATGGTAACACACACGCATAAGCTGCAATTAGTTCTGGCTTCTCATGTTCGTGGTTGTTTTCTTTATTTCTCCTTGGAATGTGACAAAAGCCACTTTTTATTTTTTTTTCAAAAAATCACAAGTAATAAGCCATGCCACATTACTAAATGCAGGACTACAGTTTTGCAGAATAGTCATTCAAATATTTTGCTAATAAGTCAGAATTTCTACAGCAATTCATGAGGAATAATTTTTAAAAACCTGCAAAAACAGAGACCTAACTTACAAAAACTGTGTTAATTTTTCAGAGTCTGGTACCCCAGTATTTAATTTCTCTTATAAAAATTGCACACAACAAGAACATATGTGTTCATACAATAGCGCATGCATATTTTTAACCAATACTGGACAACAATATTGAATTACTTTCTACAGGAGACAGGACTTGTGGCACAAACTAAAGGACACTTCTAGTAACAAGGTATGATATATTGTACTAAGGAACAAGTATGTCTAGGATAATAGTTTCAAGCTGAATTGGAAGATTGAAAGTTCCTAAACATGTATTTACATCATAGTGTAAAAGCGTCCTGTTTTCTAAGAAATGTTAAGCACCTGTAATCTCACTGAAATCAGGGATAATTAAAGTATTTGACACCTATGTGAAACCAGATCCCCTTCATTAACTCCTTGGTTTGCACATTAGGCATGGCAGCTTTGTTTGATACAGTAGCCATTATTTGCTCATATTAAATGATGTTAGAAGTACTTCAGTGCTTTAAAAATAAATCTCTTGTATCAACCCTGGACAGGTGTAAAGCACACTGAACTCAGTTAAAGTGCTTTCAGTAATTTTAACAAACCTAAATCTACAGTGGGGGGGACAAGGAGGGAAGGGAACTCTTGAAGTAGCCCTACATCCCTCAAAACACATGGCAGAGCAAGTATCCTTCAGAAGAAGGTCCACTTTCTCCACTTCATAGCTACATCTGGCTCTGCTTCAAAACATGTTGAGCCCTGGGCTAAAGCAATACACAAATATACCTGAAAAAAAAAAAAAATCAAGCTAGTATCCGTTCTAACATTTTAAGTTTTTATCATGGCAGCAGACCTAGAAAACTGCTAAGCGGAATAGACAGCTACCACTCTTACAGGTAACACTTGCAGGAAAATCAGCCATCCCTGGCCCCACAACTGGGGAGGAGTGAGAGGAGGAACGACTCTCAGTTATCTTATTTGATAAGATAACACCTTCAGCAGCCCCTTGTGCGATCTCACTGCGGGCTTTGACCGAGAAGGCTCAGGCAAGTGGTGGTAAATGAGGCACAGGGGAAGCAAGCTGAAGGGCAATGAGGAACACCTTTCCTCACGTGAGCAAGCCAGAAAATGGCTGGGAACCACAGTGGTAACATCTGCTTTGTTCTTTCTCCCTTTGGAAAGCAAAGGAGGAGTTACACGGGTTACAAGCGATGACAAGCAGTACTACAAACTGCTGTGCACGAGTGATTCAACAAATACATCTCCATTTTATACAACCTAGGGGATTCTAAAGACTGTTGTGCTAAGTGCAAATGTGCTACTAGAGATGTCCTTTATTCATTTTACCTCGGCAGCCAAAATAATTCTTGTTTTCAAGAGCATAATAACCAGCTTCACAAGTGTCACAGGAATCTCCACAAACATTAGCTTTGCAGTAACAATGCCCATTTTCCTGTGAAGAAAACAGTTTCATCAAAAATGCTTGAGCACCTTTTTCAGAACTTTAATCTTTCAACACTTTGAATTCCCTCTAATCCTAAAGAGGAAAAACATTCTAATCTCAACAAAAAATATTATCTGGACATAACTTCTGCCATTTATCATCTTCAATGAACAGACTAGAAAATACATAAACTCAAGATGATAAAAAGTTTTCAGAACTTTTAGACATCCCTAGGATGTATAAAACTGCTGTATAAAACTGCTTCTTTGTTGTATAAAACCAGCTACTTTATGTGCAAAAGTAATAATCAGTACTAAGATTTCTACCTTACCAAATGTTACAATTTATCATTACAAAAATCAATTTAATTAAAGTCTTTCTTTTAATTTCACTTTACCTGCTGACATTCTCCGACTCCACTTAGTGTTCCACTCATATCACACTGGCATGCTGCACAGATAAAAAAAACACAATCTGCATTTTGTCTTTGCAAGATACTTTGCAGGAAAAAAAACCACCACCCTGAATCTGCAGTTTTGAGTCATAGTGCCACAAGGTGGATTTTACTTTGGAAGGTTCAGAACAGCAGACAGATACTGACACAAGGTGAGAAGCAAAAACTAAAGCAGAAAGAACGAGGACTTCTGTGTAAGTGTGATTTACTGGTGCGTTTTAATGTGTTTTAACTTGTGTTTAACAAAAACAGTCTTGAGTTTGGATTTACAACTGTTTTCTTTTTTACAAACATTCAGACAATTGATGCAAAACAGTGTCTTCCAGCCTGACTGGCACCTTCTATTCTGCAGTGTTACTTTGGGACCAGTTCAACCCTCCGTATGAAATACAAATCAAGCAAATATTGTGGGAAGGAGCTATGCTGACTTAGAGGTTTGGTGAAACCCAATATGTTGACTCCGTGACTGCTGAAGGCAGAGTTAGTGAATTACATGAAAGGTGCAGTAATCAATCTTTGAGGAGATGTTTAGACTGCATAGAATTTAGAGATTTAGAGTCAAAGATGCAATGATATCAGTATCAGCTCTAAGGCTACTCATCCTATCTAGGTGGCTGTTGTGGTAGAATCTGTTGGAAAAACACACACTTGCTGTTAGCAAACATTGAAAATTGCAAACAGATTGGTATTATATAGATATAAACCATAACAGATTTGTTACACCCTGAGGCCACAAGAAGGCTTTTCACTCCTTTACAAGCTAGGACATGATAATAAACGAAAAAAAGAACCTTTTTCTCAAAACAATGAGCCAAATCCTGGTTTCAGTGTCAAGGGCAGAAGTCCTGTCTCACTCCAGTAAAACTGCCATAGGGCTGTATGAAGTACATATCACTAACTCAGAGCGCACCTTGGTCCAGCACTAGCAAACACTCATGAAATTATGCTCTAATTTCTAAAAGTAACTGCTGGTATCACGGATAATTTGAATTTACTATTAAGTAGCATGAAAAGCATGCTGTTAACAAGAGTTGTGAAAGTCACTGAGCATCAAAGATGGTGTCAGTGAATAAAGATGACTTTCAAATGAATTTAACACATTCCATAAGCCAAAGAAATGTCATGAAGCCGTACCCGTACATCCCTCGGGGTTTTCTTTGGCCAGGTTCCAGTACAATGGTTTGCATTTACTACAGGTAGGACCTTCAACGTGCTGAAGACATTGACAATAGCCCTAATGACAGAACGGAGTTAAAATGGGTTCATTGTTTTCATAAAAAACTTACTGCTCTTTAGTATCAAGAAAAACCTAATATTAACATCTCAGGCAGTTCACTGACTTTTACAGATGCATGGAAACTGAGGCTGATTCAGACTTCTTAGATTTTTCTGTCTTATACTATCAGCACAAGACTGTTCCACCCTGCGTATTTTTTCCATATCTAATTAATTCTAAATGTCCCAACAGATGTACTTTCCAATTCTTTTACAGCCTTATTAGAACTATTCTAAAGTATTAACTGTTTTGCAAAAAGTCTAAAAAACAAATTTTCTTAAAAATAATAATTAATTCTCATATTTACGCCTTCCTTTATTGGTGGAAGACACACATAGCTGTATACATTAGCCTACATAGACACCTCCTCCATCACTCAGACTTACCCTCTGGGTCTTCTTTGCTACACATTTAGCAGAGACTGTGATTTCTGGTAATATGCTACTACTAATAACCATCACTGTATTAATAACAATAATAGTGGAATAGCAACAGTTACAAAGAGATAATAATTTTCTTAAGAATAATTTGATGCTGAAACAGCCTGTTGCAACCCAGAACCAGAAGGTCTTCGACACATGCATAGGCTTATATGCATATCTGCATGTATATATTAGTGTTGCAGCATACCTAGAAGACATAAACAGTATGCATATTCTATATGTAACAGATAAAAAAACCCCGCCATCAGCAGCTAATTGCACTGGTATGATCAAAGAACAAAACACAAAGTTTATTTCCAGTCTTACTTTGCAAATAAGCTCATGCAATTCTTTCACAGCCTAAGAGCAGGCTTCAGGACTTGAGCAATGAAGTGAATGTGTTCCACAAAGGCACATGAATTATTAACACATACTGTTAGCTGCAATAGTAGAATACTTACGGAATGAGAACCAACGCTACCTGAAGGGTCACATTCACTGTTGACACCTTTATGAAATTAGAAAACAAACACATTGAAAGATCTTTTGTAAACAGAGCTGTGGAATATAGTAGTGCAGACGTAATATATTTCCAATAAACAGCTCACAAGGTCCTCCTAGAACTCACAGGGTCCTCACCTCTGCTTGGAACCTACAAGTTTGAGGTGACCTGTACCATCTTGACATTGTTTACTTCCTCCGTTCTTGACAGAAACAGGTAGGATTATATGGAACCATAATAAACCTTTCTTCCTCAACTTCTTTGTCCCATCCTAACAGCAGGCTTGGTTTTGGCTTTCTGCTTTCTTGATCTTCTTATGGTTACAGAAAGCACAGGGCAAATTCTGTAATTTGACCTGCACTTAAAAATGTGATGGCGAAATATAGAATATAAAATTGTATGCCCATCACACCTTTAGATCTGATGGCAGAGGAGGTCAGAAGAAAGCTTGGCAAATACAGCACGCAACAGTCTTACTGTTTGAGATTCCTGCGTAAGGTCTCAGTTGTGCCAAGATTTACACACACAGCTTAAATAAGAATAATGCCACAAAAAAGAACAATGCTGCTACAGCCCAGGGGATTAATCTTTGCTCTGATAGAGTCTAAGGGTGAAATGGTTAATGACAATTATTTTAGTAAACTAGTAGCCAGTCTCCTAAAAAGAGAGAACAAACCTGTCAGATTATTTTTTCTTGCTGTGGTTGTGGTGACTAGTAATAGCAGAATTCTGAGGATACGTTCCTTCTTTAGCACTAATAATATTTTGATTTCTAGGAAAGAGCAATCCTGTTCATGATGATGAAGTAGCTTGCTGATTTTAATGACAGTGTCTGCAGGTTTCCCTCTGCGTGATGTGAAAAACCTATACACACATTCTGGGCCTGATCAATTGATCCACATGGGCAGGAAAAAATGTTGATATGATGGAAGATTTGCAGGGTTAAGCTGCTCTAGACTACAATTTATGATGCAATACTGGCACATGTCAAGAGAACACACTAATGCACTTACTTAAAAGTTTACAAGACAGTGTGTCAAATACTAGAATCCCAAATCAGTTCAAACACAGCTTATATTCTTTAAGTTGGGTGAGCCAGAACTCATAAAGGTAAATGCTCATTGCCCAGCCTAAGCATTAGATTTCATATTTTAAAAAGAGTGATACAACTGCATCAAGGCCAAACGTTGCCATGCTCACATTAATCCAGCTAGCACAGGAATCGCGATGATGTGCCAGGGAGGACTACCAGAGCGTGTGCCTGCCAGGAAGCCTGGCCACTCCCTAGATCTTCAGTGTTATTGTTGCCAGCTTTGGATGGAACAAAAAATATCATGGGTACATAGGTAGTTTTAGACAGAAATGTATTTGAGAAAATTTATTTTCTTATGTATTGCAGAAATAAGAAGAGAAACCCCAGTAAAAGGAGGAAAGGCTTTTACTCACGCAAGCAGCTGGGATAGCCGTAATAACCTGGAGCACACTGGTCACATCTAAGTCCAGCATAGTTACTGTGGCACAGACACTGACCTCTAGGATCACATGTATTCTCCACTGAGCCAACAGCATCACAGTTACATTCTGCACAGAGAAAAAAAATAATAACTATCCTGACAAATATATGTCTAAAACCAGCAGTTACTTAAACCAGAATTTGCCAAAAATGTTCCCTTTGAATGTAAAGCAAGCATGAGGAAACCAGATGAATCATAATTTTACCACCAAAAATAAATATCCTGAAATAGATGCTTATACCGTAATTGCCTCCTCAACCACTGATAACCAGGTCCTTACTGCAATTCTATAATGTACAGTTTAGAGACTTAAGTTTGATCCCTTGTAAAATACATGTGTAAGGGACAGAAATCCATCTTAGAAAGGAAAGAATGTCACATGAGAGAAGTACTTGACATCTTTAAAAAATAACTTCTGAGAAACAGCACCCACAAGCTAGGCTAGGTCTAATCGCTAACAAGAAGCTTATTAGTAACATTACACAAGCACAACTTCGTGATGCACAAATAAATGATGCACAAGGTAAAAACTGCTGACATCTTAATTCTACAAGCTGGCAAGCAAGTGCACTGCAGGAATCTGCATATAATACACAAGGCACATTGTCAGACTATAACAAAAGCTGCTGTCAGACTATAACAACAAACTTGTCTTGGAGTTACCACTACTTTAGGCTAACAGCTCTATCACAGATAAGGCATGCTATTCTATTGAAACAATGCTGGATGTTACCCAGGGTCACACTTGATAGGTACGTGAATGGGAGCCCATCCGGGAATCCCAGCTGCCCCAGGTGTAAGCCGAAGTGTTGCAGTTAATCACTTGGATTTTATGACTGATAGAAACGGCTGATTGACAGAAATATAAAACAAACACTTTCTGTTCCATGTTCATGTTCCTGGTTCCCGCTTTCAGTTCCTTTTTCTGCTGCAGTCAAGGACATCTGACTTTGTTGCATTTACTTCAAAGATGCCTGGAAAGACGCAGGGCTTGCTAGGAAGTTAGTATAAAATAAATACAAATATTGAAGCTTCCAAAAACATCACCTACACTAGAGTCCACCCCCAGCTGAACATTATATTACATTCTCTCCTCATTTTAATAACACTGATTTGTTTAAAGGCTTTATTTTGATATCACTCCTATCGAATAAAGCTTCTATTGAGTTCAACAAGGCAAGACCAGAGAGATCAGTTCTAGCTGCAGCAGCCACAAAGTTATAGATCTACCTCACTTCAGAACACGACAACTCCAAATAGGAGTAGCACGCTGGGCTGCTCACTTTCCACCACCACCGTTTGCAGCATGCTGCATTAGTTTAAATTTAAACCCATGGCAGCTTATTTTAACGGAGCAAGCTGTGAACTGCAGCAGTTTTGAGTAATCCCACTGACAGTGTTTTCAACTATTTTTATCCATCTTTTATAATGTTTTTGCATGCTCTTTTAAGGTTTTGTGTCTCTTTTCAGCTTTTGGTGTTAAAAGTTCAAATGTATTCAATACAGATTTGATTTGCTTTAAGATTGCTACCCGATTCAGTTCTAAGAAAAAAAAAATGGTTAGAGTACTTTAAAACCACTGAACAGTGTGTACCAACGCAGAATCCTGATTTTATGTTTTTCATTAAAAAATGCTAATCTACTCCAGATCACAAAGACACAGTCATGTGGTATTTCTTTATTCCACCCATTGTGTTCGGTAACACAACATAATAGATCTTTGCAAGGGCATAAAGAATTCTGCTGTCCATTTATAGGAGATAAACAAATACATAAGCCCAAAAGAAAGAAGACTGCCATAGTCAATAACCACAAATAATGAGATAGAAGAAAGTACATCATAATGTTCAACATAGATCTTTTTTAAGCTCTACAGGAAAGTTCATACCAGAACTCAGCAATATTCTATATTCTTTCCCAATGTAAAACTCACTAAGGATTAAGGGCCTCTCTCTCACTCACTGCAAAGGCAGACAAAACCTAGGGGCCAGACAGGACTTGACGAATTCCTCATACGCACACAAGACCATTATGATATTCAAGGGTACACTTCATCAATTGCCCTCTCTTGTAAAAAACAGGGTAGCCCTTGGTGGCGGCTACACTGCTGAAATCCCATGGAGAACTGTCATGTTTCATGATTACATGGACAGAGGTTGGCTCTGTGCCTGTCGGATGATCTTAAAATGAGTGAGAAATCGCCGTGAAGAGCAAAATGGGAGCTTCTAATTTTCAGATTTACAGAACACACATTTTACAAGGTACCACACTAAGACCCTCTACAAAAGTAGATTAGTGCTTCACAGCTCTGCTATGCCAGTTCCTTAGCAGCCAAGCACGGTCTGATGCTGTAGGCCTCCATGTGATAAAGGCTTTCAAATCCTTTGGTTATTAGTAAGACAGCTGTGCTGACTGAGGCTTATCAAACACTCTGACCATGGAAAAAGAAAAAAAAACCAAACTGTGAGAAAACAGACTATATAATTCTTCCCTACTATGGAAACATGTCTGGAACTGGAAAATTAGAATATATGAGGATTTCACCGTATAGCACAAGAGTCCCTTGCCCATTTACTGCTGTGAACATTGCTTCAGCCACTGCAAAAACAGTACCTGAAAAGCACTCCTGTCTGCCTTTTCAGGGCCCTGTTTGATGCTGTACATGCAATTGGCAGCCTTACCTTGACAGGCAGGGAATGAGTGGTGGCCAGGGTGACAGTCGTCACACTGAAGTCCAGTTACCCCTGCGCGACAAAGACACCTCCCAAGAAAATCACAGATTTCAGGCTGGGTACCCGCCAAGTTGCATTCACACACTGCAAAAGAGAAAAGACATTTCAGAGGCAGCCACCTCTGTACAAGCTCTCTTCTTTTATCTTTCTTCAAATTAAGAAAAAAAAAAAAAAAGGAAAAGAAAAAGCAAGTCCCTGATGCTCAACAGGACCAAAATATTCCCATCAGATTTATTTTCATTTGTAACAGCTTTTACTGATTGCCCACATCAATAATAATTCAGCATTGATGGAGACTCATTAACAAAAGAGCAAAAGAATCTGGCTCAAAGTAACTACTGGGTTCAATATCTGTGTTGAAGCACTACTCTTGGCCTCTCCCCACTCAGAGTCTGCTTTATTGATCCCAAGTGGTATGCCAACTATTGAAAGTAATTCCATCCTTTTCAAGACTAAAATGAAACAATTTATGAGTGGGATTTACAATCTCAGGTGAGAGGGGTTAATAAAGTGCCTAAAAAGACAGTACAGAGATGGTCAATAAAGTTTAAAAAGTCATTTTTTCTAGTATTGATTAGAAAGGGCAGCTTGGTGCATCAAAGTGAGGTTGCAAACTCAAATTAAACACAATTTTTTTTAAAAACAAGGATAAGTAACAGAAATGTTCCCAAAGGTATTCTAATTTCATCAATGTTACTAAATCCAACTCCAAAACGGAATCTGACAGCTGCATTGCACAGCAGAGAGCAATCAAGGAAGCAGGGGCACTTTTACATAGAAGTTTCCCCTCATCACATTTTTCTTCTTCTTCTTTGACTTCTGTGAGTTTTGGGAGAGCCCCTTACAAACACTGAAAACTTCATCCTTCAATATAAAACTCGGGTCTGTATTTTTGATATGCTTGCCGAAAGAGAACATTTGGCTTACCCTGGCAGAAGGGGTAATGAAAATACCCAGCTGCACAGGTATCACAAGAAAAACCCCCAAATCCGGTTCGACATCTGCACTGTCCGGTATTTCCATCGCAGTCACCGCCCAGCACTCCTGCGCCATGGCACTGGCACGCTGAAGAGCACATTTGTAAAGAAAACATTTGCAGTGTTACGATCTTAAAGTTCCTATTTCACTTGGAAGCCGAAGGCTGGCGTTTATGCCAGAGCGCAGGCTCCAAGCATCAAGGAAACTATGGCACTTACGCAGACACTGGGGGCCAAAATATCCTGGTTTGCAGCCACCTTCTAGTTACAACAGGAAAGGAAAAGAAAGAAAGGAACAAAGTTAGTGCGTAAAATCACATAACTCCTCATACTTTTGCAGAGAAAAACAGATCAGTGCTTAGTAATTATTACTCTCAAACTGACAAAACTATTTGTATGACCCTTGCATGCAAATCTCATTTTAAAAAATAATAATCTGTAATCATGCTTAGTCTGCCAGCACAAATTTACAGCTTCTACGGACACAGAAGTTTCCACTTAGAGGCAGCCTATACCTTCAGACTCAGATACTACTCCTTGAAAATGTAAATAGCTCAAAATCTGTTTTCTCTTCTTTGTATTTATTCATTTTTCTTCATCATTTTCTTTCTTCTTCCTTTTAAAAATATGTGAGAGAAGGGGATATGCGACAGAGCATACCCAGAGGCCTACCAGGGCCATTATTTTGGATGCTGTACAAAGGAGATGAGTGGTACAGGACACTGAGGCTTTGTGGGCTGTGATGGTAACTGTAGACACTTCCAAGAAAACAACTGAGACTTGTAAATACATACATGGACTTGTACTATCTGCTTATATCTAAGTGTCTGCTACATTCACAGAAGAAAACACTTTTTCATTTGCCAACATAAACTCCAGTTCTATTAAAGCTAATAGAAATAAAGGGGAAGAATGTTGATTTTAGGATATGAAAAAGGTCTTGAGATTTTTTAAAGTGATTAATCCTGAAGTGCACTACAAGTATGTATGTGATTAAGTGCTAGCTGTGATGATGTCTCTGTTCTGCAGTACAATAATATATACTAAAAAATATAAGCCCACTGAGGGAATCATTGTATGGATTTCAGGCACCTTTGCAGTGGGCTAAACAAGAATTATGTAGCGCTCTCAGAAATCACAGTCCTCCACTGCCAAGGGCAATGTACAACTTGCCAGGTGCAAGAGGACAGTCCAGAAGCAGAGGCCAGTTAGCCTTAAGAAAGCGATTTACACCACAAAGCAGCTGACAAGTTGTTATGCGTCAGAAATCTTGATGGATCTGTTTATAAGAGCACCAAACAAGATGGTCAGCCTCCTCTGCAGATGTTTGCCAGAGGCTGGTCAAACTTATTTTGATCCGTAAATCTTTCTGAAACTAGCCCACTAAACTGTTTAATACGAACATGACAGTATGATGAACTTCTGGCAAGAATAAAGGCTCTCTGAAAGATAAATACTAACAGAGGCAAAATTACTATGTAAGTGTCCATGAAAGAGCAAGCACCAGTGAAACAGTGAAAAATGGCTACATGGGTAAAAACAGTGAAATGGGGGGGAAAAAAAAAACAAAACAAGAACTTGCCTATTATGTCACCAGCCATAGCATCTCTTGGATTTGGAGAAGTGAAAGGATATACAGAAGTATCTTTAAAACAAAAGAAACAATGAGGCGTATTTGAAACCAACACATTCATTTCATTAAAAATCATGACAAACAATGAAGTCATCTCCTGTCAATATAGAGAGCATGATATTCACCTGACTCTAGTAATCAACTTCAGCTTAGATTTCTTTCACTTAGGAACAGGATAAGAAACATTTTACTTTTGATCTCCAATTCAGGTACAAACATCGCTTCTCGAAAGAATTATATGAAAGGTCAGACACCATTTGGAAATGCTACCAGGTTGCTTCCCTGCTCCCTACCCTTTTGTGCAGAAAGATTTATTATGCTAGACAGCGTTATGAGAGCTACCTAGTGAGCTCCATATTTATTTCACATTTTCTGCTTCCAGCTGAAGGCCCATCTCCTGCTATGTGGCATTATGACTCGCTACCTGAACTGCCAGAATTCGTGACATATATGGTACATCTTGGGAGCTTTTTATTGGAGAATCCTCTAGATTAGGAATGGGAAAGACATCCCAACAAACATTCCTCCATTAGGATGGGATCCAAAGTTGATAAGCTACAAACATCAGTGGGACTTAGATCAAGGCCTACCTGAGCTGAACTTATTGAAAATGTTGGATTACAAGCAAGAGGATACATGACATATGATAATCTAGAATGCACTGTACAGAGAGGATTTATTCTATCACAGTCATTGAATTCAAACAATATCCAATTTTTTACATTTTTTTTCCTTTGTTTTGTATTGATTTCCCTCTTCTTCCATTTTTATCACAGTACTACTCTTTTAGTTAGACCTCAAATCTTGCCCCAGAACACCACCTGTTTCATCAGTTGTCAGAGACACGCTTCTCTTGAGGACACAAAACATCCCACCGATGCATTTTGAGAATCTGTTCATGGAGTCACAAGCTTTTATGCAGCAAACATAATCCTGATGTTACATTTTCTTCTCAGTTATTTTATATATAATTTGTTTATGGGGAAAGCATTTAATTTTCTGAATTTCCAACACTGAATTTTAATCTCCTTATTTTAAAGTAAAAATCTAATTTTCAATTAATCAATAGCATTAGATAGCATTCTATTACCATTTTCAGTAAATGGAAGCACTCAGCAGTTCTGAGTCACATCTTCTTTTCTAATGTTTATTTTCTTTGGATTTACAAACACCTTTCCTTCAATGACTTCTTAAAAAATCTGAAACAAACTTGAACCCTTCCTTCAATCACATATCTGCACCTACTCACAGTATAGCAAAAATAAGAGAGCATGGCTGAGAGCCTTATGCTTTGCCAGGAGAGCATTTCCAACATCATGCAGGTACTATTTTAGAATTACTTTTATTTATTTTAGAATCCTCTGAAAGCCCACAAGCTTTGTTTATCATGGATGCAAGTTCCAAATCTTAGGAGGTGTCGGGGAGAACACATAACCATTTTCTCCTCTCTTTCTCTCACTAAATCATGTTCCACTTCCCAGTCCAAGTGGTTTAAACAATTTGTCCACAGTTTTAGGACTGGAGTTCATGACTTACTGAGAGATAGGCTGTAGCCTCGATGAAGATGTCTTAAATGAACTCAGAATTGTGAGAATGGAGCACAATCTATTTGGTTTTCAACTAACCATCATTTTGTACAATAAACCAGACTCTCTTCAGTGTTATGACAACTGATTTATCAGTACGTGTAAACATGTGAAGCTGAAATGCCAGATGTTTTAACCAAGTCAAATGTAATGAAAACTGTTAATTCTTTAATGCAACTTTAAAATATGGGAAAAGAGGCATTTTTATTTGTATACTTACAGACACAGAATGGATAACCATAGAACCCATCAGCACAGCGTTCACAGTTTTCTCCCTGGAAATTCTGCTTACAGAAGCAGCGGCCAGACCCTTCCTCACAGCCCTCTGCGTGCTCCGAGTTACAACTGCAGGCTAGGGAAGTATCAGCAATTAGGCACATTTCGGAAAGGAATTAATTTGCTTTTTACAGCAGTGCACAATGGCATTATAATAGTAAATTTGCAGTTGTGAATGCCTCATTCTTTAAAGAATTAACATTTGCATGCTGTTATATATTTTCCAAGTTCTTTATATCACCAATTAATCTTTGTGATACCCCTTGGAAGTAAGACCTATGTCATTTTCTTAGTGTTTACGTTTTTTTAATTCAGAAAGCTGCATGTTATTACTCCACAGCACTGAAGCAACTATCTTTTCTGTGGCATCCACTCATCTCCCTCCATGGTCCAGGCTAAGTACCATGCTCCATCCACCTTCCTTTACACACAACGTGCAACACCACGGCTCTGTTGACATCCTATTCATGTCAATACCCAAATACAACAAACTGTAGCTTCCTCCCACCTCACAAGGCTCCTTCAGCCTGTTTGTACTTCAACCTTTATCTCTTACTCAGTTCTTCTTTTTTAAATGTTAAATTAGTAATTATCCTATTGCATCATTTGTTAGTCGTTAGGTTCAGTACTGCATAAAATAGGAGTAGTGATCCTCATGACCTTTTGAGCTATAGAATAAAATTTTCAAGTGACCAAGAGCCAAAGGATACCTCACATGTACATCAGAGAGCTAAGAGAAGATCCTATTGCATCATTTGTTAGTCGTTAGGTTCAGTACTGCATAAAATAGGAGTAGTGATCCTCATGACCTTTTGAGCTATAGAATAAAATTTTCAAGTGACCAAGAGCCAAAGGATAGCTCTCTGATGTACATGTGAGGTAAGAGAAGCAAGGTCATGAGGGTGGGAGATGAGAGTAGCTTCCTAGAGGTCACGCCTCCTCACTGTGGGGTGTGTAGCAGCCTACATGATCCTATCTCCTCAGCAGCCTTTTCTGGCTTACTTCCTCCTATCATCCTGCTGCTCATCTGAAGCTTTAGGCTCGTATGACACATACATTGAGAAGACTATCATTAAAAGGGTCTAAAGCAACACAGAAAGTCATTTGCAGTTGTTCTCCAACATCTTTTGGCCACTTGTTCATCTTTCCTCCCCAGAAGATACATTCCATGCCTTGATTATAGCCAAAAAAAAACCCGCAAGCCGCCACCATGAGAACATACTTAATAAAGAAAGACTCACGTATACAGCCGTCAGGAGCTCTCGCTGGAACACCGTAAGGACGATAGTAACCTTTTGCACATTTCTCACAATTAATACCAGCTGTGTTATGCTGTGCAAAATAAAACAAAAGGAGAATATGAGATAAAAAGGGGAACTTGGAGGAATTAAGAAACAATAACATCCTTTACACTGTTTCTATATACAACTAAGAAAGGATCAGCACAGGAAAAAATGGAACATGACTGCAGTAGCGACAGCATTCGTCAGTACGTGTTCTTTAAGACTTGTTCTCTACAGATTTCTGAATCATGGTATTCTTACATAAAGCAGCTGAATTTTATCTTTAAAGCATTATAAAAAAGAGCTATTTAAAAAAAAATCTAGGGAAAAAGAAATCTCTTTTCCCTATCACATGCTATCCCTTTTTATGCTACTTTCTTATCATAACGTATATATCATTCAGGCAACTGCATCATGAATTTTTCCTCATACTATATATTACTTTTTTGAATACCCTATATCTAAGATCAGCAACATCAAAGTCAACCAAAATCTGATCAGTCAGGTCAGCACAAAACAGATCTTCCATCAGAAAAGTATATGTCTCTGTAAACATATGTTTTAGGCACACATCCTGAGTAATTTGAACTGCAGCAAAAATATGTAACTCCCCTGTGAACACAGTCCTGAGCGTATTTCCACTTGTGCAGCAAAGCTCTCACCTGCGGTGGGGCAGCAGGAGCATGCAGCAGCGATGGCATGCACCAACTGAGTAAATCACTGTCAGGAGGTATCCTGGCAAGCTTGTAGTCTCATGAGCAAGAAACCAGAGGGGGAAGCTTTGCCCTGGAGCAACCAAAGCAGCTTCCCCCAGCTCCCACTCGCTGTTTAGTTCCCCATTAGAGAGTGTTGCAATTCAGGGCCAAGCAGGGACCCAGCATTTAACGGAGGGACTGGTGGGGCAGTTTGCGAGCAAGGCACTCTAGATGCTGCTGGGGCTGCTGCTCGTGGTTAGCGCTCTCAGTTTGCACAGCAGTTTTGGGTTCTGCTTCCAGCTTTGCTGTGAGCCTCCTCTAGCATCTTCAGATCTGAGCTACTGATGGGAAAGGCTGACATTCGATCAGGGAAGGTGATGCTCACATCGCACAGCGGATGGAGACGCAGTGGTTGTCGCAGCACTTAGCACGGCAGGACCACAGAGGGGCCCAGGATCTCTGCTCAAGACTGTTTAGGGTTACTTGGAGATTGTGCAGCGATGGTCTCAACACATTGCAGGGCACATTCTTTCGAGACTACCGGTGCAAACTCTGGTGGCACATCAGAGGCACACCCCAGACAGAGCTGCAGGAGGTGGATGCCACAGGGCTGTAGAGAGTGCCTGGGCCTCTCCCTGGGGCTTGGGGCAGGTGACAAACCTGTGCAGAGCTTGAGGGTAAGGATCAGAGGACAGACCAGCACAGCTGACACTGCAGTAGGAGTCTGGTACGGACCATCTGAACAAGAAGGCAAATGAAGCCTTCATTAGGGAACTCTAGTAGTTGTGGATGACTTTAACCAGAAGGGCAATGCAGCTGGGTGAAAGCAATCCAGAAGTTATTTCGAATGTATCAAAGACAATTTCTGGATGTAGAGGTTCATGAACCAGTTAGGAAAGTTGCTCTGTTCAAACTGACACCCACTAACAAGAAAGAACATATGAAGGTTGAGGGCAGTCTTGGCTGCAGTGACCACAAGACTGCGGATTTTAAGATCCTGAGACAAGTAAGCAAGTCAAACAGCACAATTACAGTCCTGGGCTTCAGAAAACCAGATTTTGGCTTGTTCATGTATCTGCTTGGCAAGATCCTGTGTGAAACTGCCCTGGAGGGGAAAGGGGCCAGGAGAGCTAGTTGATTCTCATGGACAGCCTCCTTAGAACAAGAACAGTTCTTTCCAATGTGCAGAAAGTCAAGCAACTGTGGCAGAAGGCCAGCACAGATCAATACAGAGCTCCTGATTGATCTCAAACTCAAAAAGAAAGTACGCAGAAGGTGGAAGGAGGGATAGGCTACTTGGTGGCAATACAAAGACATTGCCCACATATGTAGGAGTGGAGTTAGGAAAGCCAAACCTTAGCTGGAGTTAAAACTAGCAAGGAAGGTGAAGCAAAAAAAGAAAGGTTTCTAGGAGTACCTCAGCAGCAAAAGAAAAGCCAATGGGAGCAGAGGCCCATTGCTCAGTGGGGAAGGAAATCCAATGAACAAAGCATCATAGAACACACGAAGGACAGGAAGGTGATTGGGCCTATTCAACATAAATTTACTTAGGGCACAGTATGCCCAGTCAACCTCACTGATCTCTGTGACAAGATGACTGGTGCTGTGGACATGGGGTGGACAGAGCCACCATGATTGTCAGGGACTGAAGCACAAGACATCCAAGAAGAGGCTGAGACAGCTGGGTATCTTCAGCAGTAAGAAGAGAAGGGAGAACTTATTGCTGTCTACAGCTACCAGATCAGAGGATACAGAGGGGATAGAGCCAGGCTCTTGTCAGAGGTGCACAGCAATAAGATGAGAGGCAACAAGCACAGATTGGAACACAAAAAATTCCAATTAGGTATTAGGGGAAAAAAAAATTATCATGAAGGTAGTCAAACAGTGAAACAGGTTGCCATGAGTGGTTGTGGCATCTGTGTCCTTGGAGGTGTTCAAGGATAGACTGAACAAGTCCCTCAGCAATCTGATCTAATTAGACCTGCTCTCAGTAGGGGGCTGGACTATGCAATTTCCAGAGCTCCCTTGTTATCAGGCTCTAAAGAAACTGAATCTATCTTTGTATGCAACACTTCAATTCTATCATTTCTTTGTTCGGGCATCTATTCCTAACACTTTCTTCCCTAACACAAACAGAAAAAGTAAAGTTAAATTCACGTGCTTTATCCATGAAAAAAAATGCTATAATTAGATTTATGGTAAACTCATTTAATCCAGTATAACTTCCACAAAATCAGGTTACAAACAATTAGTATCGGTCATATAACAGGACTTACAGATTTAGATTAATTTTCCTCATTTCTGTCCTGGAAGGAATATAAGAGAAATGTTCTTTCATGAACAAAGAGCTGACAGGAAAGACCAACATGATAAATCTTACCAGACTGCATGAACAAAGTTCTGCACAGAAATGTCAACTGGAAGACAAAGAACATTTCTTCTACTCATGCTAGTAAAAATAACTGTACTCTCTTCTGACTGCCTTTTGGACAATATCTGATTATATTGCAGCAATAAGATGGAAAACATACTCCATAAGTTTTACTGGGTATTCATTTTTTTTGTTGCCTAAATACAGCTATATTTTTAAATGCACAGCATGGTAATACAGAAATCATGATGCAGAGGTTCCATAGAAACATAGGCTTGATGATAATTTTCCCTCTGAATTACGTTCTGCTCAGCTGCTTGTCATCATACTTAGATGACTTGACAACAACAGGAAGACAGACTTCCAAATAAGTCTAGATGCATTTAACCCTGAAATCACCAAACCATTGAATAATTTTGGTTTGTAAGGAACCTCAGGAGGTCAGGTGATTCAGTCCCACTCAAAGCAGAGATAAGTCCAAGATTAGATCAAGTTGATCAGAGCCTTGTATGATCTTTCCTGATAGTAATCAGCCAGAGTAGAACAAAAGTTACTTAGGATGAGAGACATTCTTTCTCTTTCCAAGGACATGTTATTACACTGTATCTGTCATTACAGGACAGTCTCTGATTCTAAATTTACATTTGCTGATTCAATCCAACCAAGCCTCTAAGACAGTTATGGGGCTGGAGCACGTGACATGTATGGAGAAACTGTGAGAATGGCTTTGGATAGCTTGGAGAAGAGATGTTCAAGGATGGTAGAGGTATCTAATGGCAGTTTTCCTCTACCTAAGAGGTGGTTATGCAGAAGACAGAGCCAACTCTTCTCAGACGTGCACAGCAAAAGGACAAAGCCAACTGTCACAAGTTGCAATTGGGGAAATTCCTACTGAACAGTAACAAAAATCTTTTCACCATGAAAGTGATTAAGTGCTGTAAAAGATTACCCAGAGTCTGTGTAATCTGCACCCTCAGAAATTTTCAGAACTCAACTGGACACTTCTCAGTGCAACCTGATATAACTTTGCATCTAGCCTTGGTTTGAGTGGAGCACTAAGTCTACATGACTTCCAAAGGTCCCTTCTACGATCCTGGGCTTTTTCAATACCTAGAAGCTTCCTTCTTGGTACAGCCTATGCCGTCCTTTACTTCTGCTGATGAAGGAGAGCCCTCTGTGTTTTGCTGCAGTAAGGAACCAGCTGGCCTGAGCTGGAATTTTATTTGGTTAATTTTACTTCCTTCTGTTAAACAGGGAAATGGCAGAGTTTGTAGTAACAGAAAAGGAATTTTTGTAGTTGATTTAATTGTTGCATTGTGTGGCTTTATTTGAATCACACAAGACTGAGCATAAATAAAATTTATATGTGTCTTTTACACATTAACAAGTAATGTTGTACAATGTAAATTATTTTCAGACACCTTTTCCACTGCTTGGAGTTCAAGCAGCACCAGAGAAATGGAGCTGTCTAGACAGGTCAGCCTCCAAACTATTTGTGTGGATACAGTCCCACTTCAGTAGCCCTTCTTCAAATGTCACTTATTTAAACTGACCAAAATGACCTTTTTACCTGGCAGTTAATGCAGACTCCTCCACCTTCATAATGCCCATGGATGTTTAAGCTTTCTTGACGCTGATCAACATCAGGATCATAGTAGCAATCAGTTGCATGTCCATGGCAATTGCAGGCTGAAAAAGTAATATTCCAAGTCAGCTTGCTTTATAAAGCTGGAATTCAGTAGTGTAGCACAGGTGAAAAAGCAGCTTAGATTTTTTTATGTATGCATACACTCAGGTATGTTGGAATATGCTCAAATGCACATATTTACCTGTAACAACTGGATTTTCATATCAGAAACATGGCAAGATCATGTACACACAAAGAAAACGTGTGCTGCTAAGCTTATCACAGGAGGCAACAGTTGTACCGTCTCAAAACTATATATTTATGTATAAATGCAGAACTGGGAAGCTCCAGAAGAACAGTCTCAGTAGTTTTTAAAAATTATAAACAACATGTTTAAACTCTTATTCTATTTTTCCATGTCTAAAAAACACACCTGGGCTGAAGCTGTGTGCACTAAATCTTTATTTAAAATAAACAATTATAGATAAGATATACACATTTGAACAAAAATACCTACACCAAAGAACTCTCATACTCAGCCATAAATACAGATATACCAGCAAACTTGGCTATACATTTACCCACCTGCTTTCTTCTGAATGGAGACTTTTTAAGTATGAGTTGATTCTACTTCCTGAGAATTGTGGATTCAAAAAGAAGTACTGTTTAAAGAGTATGGTATGAAGAACAATAATACCACCGTCAATAATATATTATTATTATCTAGAAAAGGATAGAATTAGGTGACTGAGATAACTCATTTCCCCAGAGTATGGTTGTTTATAGTCTCAGCTGTGATGTATTTTACTTTGGGTGGTTTGTGGTTAGCTCCTTTCCTTTACTTTTCCTTTCTGTTAAGCGAAATAAAGGTAAAGTGGCTCTGAATCCATCTCTAGATAGAATCATACAGACAAGAGAAGGGAAACTGGATCATTCTCTGTATCTCCTCCACGTCTTTATATCTGAACAGCTTTGGACAAGGAAACCCTTTCCTAGAAACTACCAACAACACAGCTGAGGTGGTGGCCTGCGCTCAGGTTCCCTTTATGGTCTACTGACAGGAGCCAGACAGATCAAGACTGGGTTCCCTGGCCAGGCTGTGATAGCCTGTGAAAATCTTGGGTGTTTTTATTCATATAATTCTTCAAGAAAATAAAGCATTGCACAAATGAGACGCTGGTTCAAAGACACTAAGTTAGAAAAGGAAAGAAGAGAACATAAAAAAAAAAAAACGCAAAAAAGATTTACAATGTAAATAACAGTTCCTTGCCTCTAGGGCCAAACCATCTGTGAGCCACAGTTCACAAGTATGTCTTCTAACAGCTACGGGAAATTATTTGCTCTGATTACAGCAATAGCATTTTCTGTCACAGGGGAATAGAAACCCCTTCTACCTCATCAAGCATCTTCTCACCACTTTGGGTCATTTGCTGACCCATACAGTACTGGGAAACTCACAGCAAAAGATTGGGTTTATCCCTACAAGCTCCCATCAACCTCTTTCAATCAGTTTCTTCCAAGGGACCTCAGGCTTCTGGGAAGCTTAATAAGGTTGCTTTAATTCCTTCACTACTGGCTGCCGGGAAAAGAGGTTTGCACCTGGCCAATACTCTCAACAAATCACCTCAAACTGCTAGGAGCAATCCATACTAAAAAGGGTATTTTTTCAGAGGTGGTTAGAAGCAAAGTTGTTTTGGCTCAGATTCTTGTAGATGATCTTCTATAAACTCAAAACATGACATTATTTATGTTCTTTGTCTATCTCTTTCCTGGCAGAAAGTGTTTTCCTTTCAAAGAAGGGAATTTAAATGACATTTCAAATATTATCCAAAAATTGTGTCCCAACATGCCTATCTTCTAACAAACGTTTTAACCACCTTCCTCCTCGCACCCCCCCTCAGCTTGATTAAACAAGCCATCTCCTTATTCCTCAAACTCATTATATAGGTACATCTCTTTGGCTTTCAAGTAAAGTTCCCCTGTTAACTCTTTGTACCCACCAGCTACGCTGCTCTCAGGAAAGGCAGACGAGGAAAATAAATTAGGCCGGACACAAAGGAAACTGCAGGCTGCCAACACATTTGCTCAGAATAGGATGTGCACAGAGATGGCAACACTATCTGTACCACACTCACTGGTTTCTGGCTGGAAGGATGCAAAACACCCATGTGTGACAGTACATACCCTTCCACCAAAAGAGGGTCCATGCCATCATTTTCTTTAACAAAAGAATGAAACACAGGAAGGGGGAGAAAGGTCAATGGGCTTCTCCAGCTTCGCTACCTCAGTCTGTGGGGCTAAAGCACTCCAAACTCCCAACTACAAGCATGGGAAGGGGTGCAAGTGCGGAATTGCCAGGACTCCCCACCAGGAACACCTTTGTGCCCACTTATGTAGGGTCAGCGAAGGGCAACCATCAGTAGGAGAAGGGAGGGTGCCTGTCAGCTGTGGCAGCCTTGAGCAATCTCTCTGCAATCTGAACACCAAAAGGCTGGGTGATAGGGAGGCAAATTTTGAAGTTGTACAAGATACCTATAGTCTCTGCTCTGCTGGGGGGAATCTACCCTCTGTCAGCAGACAGTTATGACTGGGGAGAGATGTTGACTACAAGAAGGCTTCCACTTTTCTCATATAATATTCTCACATGAATTACTATTTTCATTTTTTAATAAGAGAGAAGAACATAGATAATATTCACTGCATCATCTTTTCCTTATTGCTGTATGGAAAGAATTTTCTCAGTAGAGAAAAAAGGTGTTAAAACATGCAGTGTGCTAGTTATGTTCCATCAACATGTGTGCTACAGCTAATTCCCACCCTTTTGCAATGTCCCTTTTAACCTAGCATCTTCTAGGCTACTCACGTTCACATATATTTGTGCTCCCAGCTGTTGCAGGTTGCCACTGTTTCTGATTATATCCAGGGCAGCAGTGATCACAGGTCTCCCCACAAGTGTTATGTTGACATTCACACTGAAACCTACAGAATTGAAAGCCTCTTAGTCTACTGAAGCTGGATTTAAAGGTTTTTTTCTTAATTTTATTGCAGTCCAAGACTTACATATAATGTGAAAAGGACAGGACATAAGCTCACATGTAAAGAGGTCAAACGGTAATACTAGAACATTTTTGAAATTTCCTACAATTCTTCATGATTGATTACTTTAATCATGTGATTATGAGTTTATTAGCACAGATTACTTACAGAGAACATTTATAATTGGATTCAATAGACTGGATTATGAAACTTTAGTCTAGAATATTAAATCAAGATGATCTATAACAGTTTAGGATGTATCCTATTTTAGCTTTATTGCAAGGCTCAAGCTTGACCTACAGTAAATCAAAATATTTATCATCTTTATATGCATGCTTTCATCATTTTTTCATTATGCTTTGTTTACAATAATTCTATTAGTGTTTTTAATAAACCAAGATCATAACTTCATCTTGTTATTTTTAAAATAGTTCAAACTATTCATCAAGAAAATGTAGGCCATGGGGATTTTTATTTAGCTGAATAGCCTACTTAAAGGGCAGGCTCTCATTATGGGCTAGGTCTTATTATCATGCATAGTAACTGAACACCATGAGGAACAAAGACCTTGAGACTGGAGAGGCCTTTTCCAAAGTTCCTCTCTTATCTGTGTAGTCTAATAACCAAGGGGAAATAAAATTTTTCACTATAACCATCTCATTCCAGTAGATTTCACACCTTTTGTACTTACTTTTCTCTAGCATAGATATCTGGAAAGAAGGTACCCATCTGCCCACTTACTCTTCACTAACACACAACTGAAAATATTGCACTGTCCTGATAAAAGTTTGTTTCAATGCCATTGTGGATAAGAGCAACATTGGTTTAAACTAGGCTTTTAAAAGACGTTTTAGACATCCTGATTATTCAGTCATTTCCCTATAGCAGATGAGCAGAGGAGCCTGATTTAACTCCTTGTGAAATCAATATGGAGATCATAAATTTCACAGGGAAAGGGAACAGTTCATTCAGTTTGCTTTTGTTTTTTCTAGTAATGATCAAAAGCCATTGGATCTTGGGTGAGCTCAGTTATAATGTGCAATATCTCCAGGAAGTTCACTAACTTTATCCTTGAGTTGGGCTTCTAATTCCTGCTGTTGGGAGGTGACATCAACCTGTGTTTTCCAAAAAGAACTACGGGTGTCTAAGAAATTACTCAATCTGCCAAACTCTTATTTCAATTAAAAAATAAAAATCTAAGTAAAAACCTTTTATTATTATATTTCACATATAATAGCTCTTTACATGTTTTCTGGTTAATCATTAGCAGATTCTGTTTTTTTTAAATATAATGAAAAATCACTGTAAGACTATATCATTCTATAAAAAAAAGGTCATTTGAAAATATTCATGTATTGTTTTCCTCATATTAAATAATATTATACTCAGTTTACTTACTGGTATTGGTTTTCAACACTCTCTGCATTACATACTTCAGCATGGCCATGGCAAACACATCGACCACCAATACTGATGTCCTTTATACTGTAGTAATACTACGGAACAAGCACAAGAAGTATATATAGGTCTTTCCTTACTTGTATTACGTCAGAAATACCAACATCAGATTGTTAAATCTTGCTTATCAAAATTTTAAAGGCATTTACAAAAGGCCAAAGTCAGGCAGCCAACGGTCAAACCTCTGTTGATCTCTATGTCTCAGTATGAGTACCAGCAAATTAAAGTCAATATCCATGGGGTGCCTGATAGCAACAGGCTTGGGCAGCTCACATCAAATGTATGTTACTGCAGCTCTCCATTCCCCAGCAGCTACAAAGCCAGCAGTACCCAAGCCCAAAGCTTGTTCAAAGCCCGCTTGAGGATGGAGATGTAAAGTACTGTCAAAGCATCAGATTCTGAGACTGTGGTCTGGTCAACAAACAGGACAAGCTGGCACGGGCAGTGCAATCTGCCCATTCAGTCAGACATGATCACCGAACACTAGAAAAAGACCAAAATCACCAGCTTGGTCAAAATCACTTGTGACTTAAGCTGGATTTGAAACTGTGACCTGAAGTTGAACCACTTTGTATCTCATCTTCATGTCTTGCAGGCATCCAGGCAACAGAAGATAAAAATTTAATTGGTTTAACTCAGTGAAAATATCGCTACTGTATACATATCAACAGTAACTTCTGCATACATTTTTGTAGCTTAGAAGTTGTTTCCTTGTCTCCTTAGAGCACCAGGCAGAATGGAGAGCTTGTTGTAAATCTTGACCTCTGTGTACCCCCAGAAAAATCCTCACTGGAGGATGAGGAGAAAAAGGGTCAGAACATTATGCAGGTACATCTCTTGTGCTCACTCTATTCACAATGCATCCCCTCTAAGTGCTGTGTACAGACTCTCTCAGTGGTGATCCTTCCCCTGTATTCAGCATTGGTGAGGCCACGCCTGGAGTGCTGTGTCCAGTGCTGGGCTCCCCAGTACAAGAGAGGCATGGACAGAATGGAGAGAGTCCGGCGAAGGGCCACGAAGATGATGAATGGACTGGAGCATCTCTCCTGTGACAAAAGGCTGAGAGCTGGGACTGCTCAGCCTGGAGAAGAAAAGCCTCAGGAGGGAACTTATCAATGTGTATAAATACCTGAATGGAGGGTGCAAAGAGGATGGAGCCAGGCTCCCTTCAGTGGTGCCCAGTGACAGGACCAGAGGCAATGGGCACAAACTGAAATGCAGGAGGTTCCCTTGGAACATCAGGGAACACTTTTGCACTGTGAAGGTGATGGAGAACTGGCACAGGTTGCCCAGAGACGTTGCGGAGTCTCCCTCCTTGGAGATACTCAAAAGCCACCTGCACATGGTCTTGGCCAACTGGCTCTAGGTAGACCCGGTTGAGCAGCAGGGCTTGGACCTGAGAACCTCCAGAGGTCCCTTCCAACGTCAATCATTCTGTGATTCATTTTGGTGGCATATATGCTCTCTAGTTTTACGTAGGTGGAGTTGGCTGGCACAGACCAGATGCTTCCCCGAGGCAGAGAGCTCTTCCAACTAGCTCTCTTTAGTCTAGGCAGGTGAAGAACAGTAGGTGGGATATACAGACTAGGAAATATTTCTTGCCTTTTGAACTACCTCTATTCAAATATACACATTCATTTCTAACTGTGCATACAATTTTCATACTGGAAATAAATCTTTCAAGTAAAATCTTTCAAGTAAAATCTTTCAAGTAAAATCTTTCAAGTAAAATCTTTCAAGTAAAATCTTTCAGTGTTTTCAGCACAGCTAGAAACGATCACTGTGACTCTCACCAACGTATTTGAGAGTGTTTTTTGGTATACGAGTCTTCACAACACAGTCTATGGTTTCACACAGCTTTGCAGAGCTACACTTTACTACTAATAGTAATTGTACTGTCACTGGTCAGTAATAAGTCACATCAACAATAGGCCAAAACAATTAATAGGCCAAATTGCAATAGTGTATACATATACTATATAATTCAGTGTGTCATGAACTCAAACCATTAACAGGGGAAGCCAGGCAGTTACTTGGATAGGAGAACAGAACTGATCTGGTTTTCATCTGTTTCTATAACAAGTTTAACACAAAGATTTTCCTTAAGAATATTAACTGTATCCTAGACTTCAAAGGTCTCTACAGTAAAAACTTGTGCTTTCTTTTAACAATTTAATAAACCACTTTGCATTTCACTCATCTATCCTACATCCCATGGTTATGATAACGTTGGAAGTTCCTTATACTAAAGCTGTGCTGCTTGCCAAAAACTAAATACTGCATTTACATCTGCCTGTGAGCAACATCTTAAAATTTACTTAAGACAATAAAGGTACTTAATGGGAGTGCTATCAAGTGACTGGAATAGTTTTATGTTTTTTGATGCAGAAACCCACACACACATTTGTGCAGTGCCTCACCCCAGGGTTTCCTCCAATTGTTACCGAATCTTCATTTTAAATGAAAAGGTTAGAAATAACAATACAACATGAAGTCTGCAATCCCTCTAAGTATATGAATTTCTATGCAGTGTTCCCTTGAGGGAGCTGAATTTCCTTACATTTCCCCACTGAATAGGAGTGGGACTTTGCCTTTCAAGCTCTTGGATAGTCCAAAATCCACTGAAAACAACTAGGCATCTCAAATGATTTGTGGAAAGATAGTAACTTTCCAGTGCGCCCTTTGGTTCCTGCTCCTTCAGAAACTCTGGTACTGTTTCCTAAAAATCTTTCTTTGAATAAATAAGGGAAAGTAGCATCAAATACAACTGAAGAGATTTAGTTCCTCAGTTCTGCGTAAGGTAATTTAGAAGGTTTCTGCTTTGGCTCCTTATAGCTCCCATGATGCACCCAACTTCCTTCCATATTCAAAAACAGGGAAATAAGACAGTCTGTTACAAAATCATTAATCATTACTTCCCCTCCATAAATCTGTGCTGACCCAGTTATCTTCTTGTCTCAAACAAACCTGGAGAAAATATGGGGATTTAAAGGTGAGTCACTGTAAGATTCAATTGTTAGGACGTTGCAAACTTAAAACATTCACATCATTTTTTGGTCTCTAACATGCTGAATACAATTGTTGAGTGCATCTTGGCGAAAACAGTACTTACTCTGCGGGTTACAGTGGGGTCTCGTTGAGCTTTCGATATCAAGTGTCCAAGAAGTGTATTAGTTCTGAGAAAATGAAGGCGGATGTTTGTTGCTTTTGTGAATTCTCGAAGACTAGGAGAATAAGTGAAGTTTTTTGCTCCTGGGCGGCCATTTACCAAAGACACTACAATCTAACAAAGAAGTAAGCACATTTTTGTTAAAATATATCAATTGCAAGTGTCAGTGGTGGCAGAGAGCAAAATTAGTAAAAGAATCCAAAAACTTAGTATTTGCAGTAACAACCACACATTTGATACTGAAGCCAGGACATTGGGAAAAATAGTGTTGTTGGTCTTGGACCCTCCTGAATTCTCATTACCCATATGGCACATCAGAAAAAAAAAAGTGTCTCTACCTGTTTTGAAAACAGTAGGTATAACACACAAAAAGTACATGTTTAAACAGAAAAAACCAATAGGAATAGTTGCAAATAGTTATAATAACAGTTGATAGTGTCAATAGGAGTTTTGCCTGAGTAAAAACAACAGGTTTTGGCTCTTTTCCAAAGCACATTTATTTTTGGGTTAAGGCACAAACATTCCTGGAAAAATATTATTGTTACCAGCTCCAGTGCCTGGGAGCATATGAACGGTCTTTTGGAAGAAAGTACACAGTGTTGCTTTAGAAAATCCCCTCACATGAAAGCAGATTTATCTGACTTTCGAAACAAGGGCTCTGGTACTTTTTTATTTTTTAAGGAAACAGATGCCAGCAGCCTAGCAATCATGAATCTCTATTAAATTAACAATCCAGTGTGTATGTACAGGACTGAGTAGGAGACTCTAAATTTATTTATAATCGACCAGATAACAGACTTCTATTTTCAAACAGCTCCTATACTCCAAAGCATGTAACAAGGGAACGGTGACAGTTCTGATTGATTGCAGCACAATTCTTTCAGGAAAAGTCATACAGCACATGATAGGGGATGGCACCAGCAGTGTTCTTCTATGGAACTTATTTTTTACAATATTTTATTAGGAAAATTTTACAGATATGTTAATAAATAAATCCTACTTTAATATGAAACTACAAATCCATATGCTCAAAATTCTGGATAACTCTTCAGGAGTTCAGATCTGGATTCTAACCACATCAGGCATAAAAGGAGAATGTCAGCTGGAGCCATCAGAACTGCCATGAGTTTAACATTCATTCAAATAACACAAGCCACAGTTCTGCCTAGCAAGGAACAATGGCTAAAAACAGAGCAACATTTTCCAAATGTGTGTATTATATTATAAACATGTAGCATTGTATACATTCTTTTCTTAAATAGCTACTTATTGTTGAATGGTAATTATCTGTTTCTACAGCCTTTACTCCCAGGAGCAATTCTGATGCAGTAAGTTCTGCCATGTGCACTGGAAGTGTTCAGAAAATGCAGTCAGCACCTTCAAATGTATATGGCTAAAGTGAGGTACCTAAATCGTGATAAAAACCAACACAGGTGGCTCTGAGCAGCCCCTATCCCCACAGGTAATGGTGAAAGACAGGAGCAGCCTGCTCACCCTCCAAAAATCTCACCAGCTACTTAAGTGCTTGGTTATGGACTTATTAATGTAGATTCAAGCAGTCATAGCTGAAAAATTACTTCCAGTTCTAGATTTTTATTGAAACAGCAAACTTGTGAAACCGATGCTGTTTGCTTTCAGCATTACACGTTACTTTCCTAAAAGCACTTACCTCTCCATTTTCAAGAGGCAGAATGCGAGAGTACTCTGTGGTGCAAAGGACATCGCTGTCCCTCCTCACCGGAAGATTAGCTTCCTTTCCGAACCGCTCGAAGCAATCTGCTTTGGAGTCTAGTCAAGTGAGAACAAAATTATTTTTATATGTGAAAATAAACACTATAGTTCTAATTTAAATTAACGAAGCAGTATCCCTGTGCTTTCAGGTAAATTCTACCCTGTAATTTAATAATAACAGTGATTGTGTCACTCAGTACAGAAAAATGGAAATTCCTAAAATCAAATCATTTCTCATCCTAAGCAATTCGGTGGTGCCTGACAAGACATGGCACAATATTTCTCATATCATCACAAAAAAAAAGCTATATATGTACTCCAAGATTTTACATTGGTATTTCGCTTTGATTTTTGCCAGGAACTCTGGGGTCCCATGGGATGAAGGACACTATCTTGGTTTTTGGATTTGTCAGAACTACAAACAAAACAAAACAAAAATTCCCAACAGACTGAAAAATATTCATGGGCTGAGTTACACTTTCAAAGTATCATACTCATTTTTAGTTACACTCTTGTCACTAATTTATTGTGGATAACTAAGACAAATGTATTTGATGTTCACTGTCTTCACTGCAGTTGAAATCTTTAGCAAGCCCTATGGGCTAATTTTGCTGCTACCGGATGAATGATTAAAGAAATCTGTCCACAAAAAAGTGACACAAGGATCGATACTCACGAGCAAAATATTGCCAGGGAGTGTAAGTTCTTCCAAAATCCACTGATCTTTCTAAGATCCAGAGATCTGGACGAGGAGAATTTGCAAACTTGATAAGGATATAGGCAACTTGGAAGAGCTGGTAACAGAATATACATAGATCTTGTCAGGAGCTTTTTGAACTCTATAGAGTACCACAATACTAAACCTAATGCCAATAAACACCTTTTCTGTAGTGTACACTTAGAAGGTTACCCTCTGCAGTTTCATTCCCATTAAAATAATAGTCCAGATTCTCAGCTGGCTACCTCACCTGGCAACATGCTCCAGTACATAAAGAAAGCTGCAACAGGACTGTGTTAAACGCCATCTCTTACATTTCAGAACCGCTGTGTTTTGCACATGACTGATTGCTTGGGTGTGTTAAGGGTACAGTACTTAACCTTGAAAAGTTGGCATCTCAACACATCATTGAACTAAGATACTTTTGCAGCATCCTAGTACAGCTGTGTTGCATTCCAATCATGTAATTGTGTATGTAGTCAAGGAAAATCACAATGATGTAAAAGAAAACATACACACCCTTTACACTGGGACTCCTTTGGTTGTGTTTGATAGTAATCTAAGCCACCTGTTCCCTCACTTTAAGAATATTTCTAGATAACTTTGCCACTTGACAGACTTTCCAAGTAACAGAAGCAAGCCACCCTAGAGTTTCGTGGATATCAAATAACACAAGAGAGATTCTCATGACTGGTAGCTCGTTCATTGTCTGAAACGATGAACCTTCATCAGCTCAAGGTTCTCAAGGCCAAGAGTCCCATCTGGCTTCTTTGGGTGCTCATTGTGTATCATCACAGCAATAGACGACAGAGACAGATAGCTCCCAAACACTACAGCAAACATGGATCTGACAAGAAAGGAAATCTTACTGTAAGCCTCTTGGGATAGTCCAGAGTTATAAAAATCAAAACATCAGTAAAATTATCTCTACACAAAAGGCTGAACACAGATTGATTCTAAGGGTCATTTAGAGTGTAAACAACCACAACATGGATATGAGCTGTCAATAAAAGTGATCCAATATTGAGTTACACACAATATTCAAGTGAAGCTGCACTGGAATTTCCCACTCAACAACCTCAATTCAGAATCACCTGCTTGCAAGAGATTCTTACTTTGGTGGGGGAGGCAGGTGGTTACACTCAACGGTCTGTCAAGTAACTGCTGCCAGAGCCCTCACATCAGATACACCCACGCAGTTCATCTTTGCTTAAACACCATAAATGTCATAACCCTGAAGCTAATAATTTGTACAGGTTATTAGACTCCAAACCACAAATGCGTACATGATCCCAACCACAAACTGGGAACAGCATCTGTTCCCATGCCTGGCCTGTTCAGCTGCCAGCTAGGACCGATTCAATAGCTGTAATACCAGCTGGGGCCACCAAGGGCCAGATACAAACCGTGAACAAGGCAGTGGAGCAGATACCTGGAAATATTTGTCCCTAACACGTACCGACCCCATGGCTACAAGGACATCGCAGTCATACGGCTACAGGCAGCCTCAGTCTTCACGTATCTGTTCCAGGCATTAGCGTCTGAATATCAGAAGTATGCACAGAAGAAAGTAAAACCTTCTCATGGAGAAATGGGAGGAATTCAGGGACTTCATGGAGCATGCCCTCATGACAATACCTCACATCCCAGAAGAAATAAATGAAGCTTTTTCATTGTGCATTCATTTAATGCAGTATGTACAACTATCCAGGGTTCTATATACACCAAGGCATTGCTGCAGCAGGTGTCATACCTCGAAACCTATTTCAGAAACTGTTGCTTTCCTGAATGTTGCTTACCTAGGTCAGTGGCGAGATAACCGGGGGAAAAAAAAAACTTTCATGTTAGTGCTGGAATTTACCCTGACTACTTAACACAGCCTGACAAGCACCAGCTTCACCTCCTGTGATACTAAATTAGGTACCTAAATAACCAGACAGTACCTACATACGGAAAATTACTTACTAGACAACAGTATCGAGCAAAGTAAGTGGCAGCCATTCTGTCAACAGAACCATGACAGAACCCAGAACTACGCACAGTGACTGCACAGGTGGAGTAACGCCTTTAAATTACTGATGCTGATTGTCAGAAATAGGTAAACACTTCCGGGACTGTGGCAAGATTTGCTTCTATTGAGTTTCTGATACTCTTTGCCTAAGTAATTTCTGCTACTTGACTGGCAAGTTTCAGAGTAGGGATATTGGCCATATAGATATTACAAGTCATCCAGTATGGCCATTCTGTGCAAAGACTGGTGTCCTCTCAGGAAAGCATAATAGTTCTGAAATTCAAAAAAAAATAAAAAGGGTTTCATGTTCTTGCTTTTGGCCAGCTGAACCTCTCAAGGGGCACTGCCCTGTTCAAACCAGGTTTGCACTGGGCAGGCAACTGCCTATCCGTTAATAGTCTTGCTTCCCCTATGTTTTAAGGTCTCTGGGAGTCCCATCCCTACCCGCATGTTAACAAGTGTGGATAAGACTCTGTGTTGACTGATCCAGATTTAATCAAGACAAATGGTTTAGAAAGCTCAAGAGGAAAGAAAGGAAGCATACAGAAAAGGTCCTGCCTTCTCCAGGGCCCAATTGCTTGTAGTCACATTGTGGAATCATTACAACAATGACCTTCTACCTACTCTCCAAAAAAGCAGATGACATCTGCTTCAGCTTGTCATACAGTTACTCTTTTACTCAGATGCTACTCACAGCGCTGACACAGGCAATCTCATCTCAGCTCTCCTAACAGGTGATACTTTCTCATAAGCATGAGCAAAATAGTAGCAGAGAATTCCACTTGCACAGTGCTTCCACACTGCTGAAGAAATATAAGACAAGCTCACTTACATATCAGTGTCACCCTGGACTATAACCTTTCACAAGCATCGAAAGAAAAAAGCGGCCAAAATAAAGGCACACACTAGTAACACAGCTGAATCAGCATGTGGCATGCGTCAAACACCTGTATGCCACATCTGCTATGCAGCTGTAGAATTTGCTTAAGCCTATGACTACTCAATACATGTGAAGTTGAAGTACTGCCAACATGTGCATTGTGTCACGAACTCTGCAAGTCTGCCAATGCTTAAAGAACTGTCTCCCAGCACCACACTTTGCATACTTCCATGCAAACCTCAAAATGGAAGAAAAGAAAATGTATGACAACTTCAAACTACGGTTGCATATGTAAACTTTCAATTCACATGCAGATCTCCCTGCATCTCATAGTTTGAAATACTGCTCAGGTTTGTACAGTCACATTCAGAAAGGGGAAAGGGATAGGTCTGGATAAAAATTAAATTAGTGTTAGTTAATGACGATGTATTACCAAAACTTAGTCAGTCACCAATCCTATCACCTGTCCTGCTTCTGACTTCACACAGGTGCCAAAGATTTGGTTTTGATCTGGATCAAGGATGCAGAATAGCACCTGAACCCCCAAATTTCCACTACGATTGAATACTGACCAAGTTAATGAAAGGCCTCTCTCCAGATCTGACGAGGCAACAACAGAAGAAAAATAATCCTTGGCTTAGCAAATAAATCCTAACTAAAGATAGAACAGTAACTTTCCTGACTTAAGATCTAGAAAAGAAACCATTAAAACCAATTTTAATCACGTATTCTAAACTAGCATTTCACTAATTTAAATCTTGATCCCATTGCAATGACAGAAATAAGACCTACCCTGAGAAAAAAGCATAATAAACTCAAAGCAGTGTTTTTCTTTAGTCATTCAGTTTTGAGAAAAAAAGGAAATGAGTTTCTTAATTTTTGAAAAAATGAATATTTGGTTGCTTTTAAGTCAAATTTCTTTCACTAAAAAACCAACCATTTTTCAAAAGAAGTATTAAAAACGTAAGTAAGCATTAAAAGTAACTGCTCTTTTGGTGCAATTATATAGTAGTAAAAAAAAAAAATTCACCAAAAAACCCTGAAATATGGCTTAATCAAAATTCTGACCATTTTCTGATATGAACAAAGAATTGTTTAAAAGTAGAAACAGCATTTTGTTTCCAGTAATGGAAACAATCCACTCTGGAAATGCATGCTTGAAAGAGGATATATTCCTGTAACTGTCCCAACACCATATCCTGCTGTAATCTAGCAGCATGGGTCAAACGTGATGGATTGTCAACAGCTGGAATGTAACCAGTTCCATATCGATGTGACTTTTTCCTGTTTGCTCAAGTTCGTTCAGTTTTGCAATGTTTTTGCAGGTAGTGACCTTGAAGATTCACAAAAACTCAAAGTTTTTAAAAATCATCCAGAAGAATGAGCAAAATGTGTTCCTCATGTAAGAACGGAAATTGTAACTCAGTGTTAGGAATTACCAATATTACATTATAAAGACAGAAACATTTCTATCGAAGCCCTTACAGGTGAATTTAAGACTGCATTAAAAGAGCTCATTTAAATTGATTGAGAATCACATTGTACCATTATTGTTAATGATATAATATTCACAATCTCTAATGGCATGCACACTACTTATTTTAACCCAACAGAAAGAAAACTTCCTATGATCCATTGCATCCTCATGAGAAGTCTAAAAACTGCAATAAGATTAATTTAAAATCTTTCTTCTGTTCTCCTTAAAAGTTTAAGCAACTCTATATAAAAAGGAATTTCAAAGATTTGTTTGATTCTTAAAATACATAAGCAAATGGAAGAAAGTTAGATATGCATATACAAAAGTATAGCATATTTTCCTCCGTTCCTACCACTATAAACTCAAAACAGAATACTACTAAAATACTGAAATGACTTGTTAGTTAAGCGCTGGACATAAATTAGTACAAAAGACTGTACTAGTCTGTTCTGAACAATCATTATGCTGTGTGCTGCACCGGTAGGAAAGGACTGTTCTCCCTTTTTGGTTCATGAAGAATAAAAAGTCTTGGAGCATGGTAATAACAAGAACACAACTAAAGTCAGGTAGACCATCTATCTGAGGCATTCTATAGATCTCAAGATGTGTTCAAAAAGATACCACAACACTCACTCTTCTTGTAATCTGAATTGTAGTAGCACGGAAAACAGCTGTTTCCAGCAGCATGGTATTTCGTCGGATTGTATT